ATAACCGCTGTTCAATACCTTTGGGAATCTTGAATACTCAAATATTTCTACAGAATGGTTCAATCCGCCTCCACCATCGTAGAAATCGAATTGTGAAGGCTGGTCGATAAGAGCAGCAACGTTGATGGCGGCACCAAAGTTTGGTTGACTGGCCGGTATGCCACCAATCACGCCTGTCAGCTGACAGTGGCAGTTGCAACATGTTGCAACCACGTCATGCGTATGCATTCCATCATCCACTGGTGGGTTGTCGATGATTGGATCCAAACAAAAAATGAGAAAGCGCAACCAGTTGCGTGTGAGTGTTCGCACCGCTATGATGGGAGTAACAATTGGATAATGCCACAGTAACCCCAATGGGCCAATTTCAACTGGGTAACAACCTGGATCGCAGAGTACTCCCGAATTGCAAGCAGCCTACAGCTCGGTCCGCCACCTGGTTCAGCTGTGAGCGTCAGCGATTCCAATAGGCCCTCCTCATTGGCGATGTGAGCGACCCCCTCCGGCACTCCAACACCAAGATTCACGACGCACTTTGGCGTCAGTTCCTTGAAGCTGAGGGGCGACACCATGGTTCATGGATGGTCATGGATGGTGATGTTCTGCAATTCTCTGGTTACCTTCAGCTTGTACCCTCTAAAAAAGGGTCCCCGTGTTGGACCAGTCACCGGGTAGCTGAGTTTTTTTGAGACGAATCTGTCCGGCCAACTCGTTCCAAGATTCCATGGCGGCACGCCGAGCGATGATCTTTCTCTCATCCATCACCATGGGTTGCAGCGTTGCAGTTGGCACCACGATCTCATGGGCATAGCCTGGATTGTAGACTTGGGCAAAGGTTTGCCAATGGTTCTCCTTGGAGGCCCAAGGCAAGATTTCGAAGATTAATTGGTTGTGACCAATGCTTGGCATCAAGGGTAGGCAACACGCTGAGCCCACTAAATAGATAAGTTCGGACAATCCTGCAAAAGGACGACATCATGCTCGTCAACTGTTTGGGCTTCACAGACGTTCGAGAATGCAACGCATTCATCTCTTCGCTTGTCGATAGATGAGCAATCATGCCGGCTAGTTGCAGGAGAGTCAAGGAAATAGCAACACTGTATAGAAATAATGATGATAACGATAGTAGCCATGATGCTGGTAACAAAAATAATAGTACTAATGACAATTATCATGTTTATCCTCAAGTTTATGATTATGATAAACAATACCAAATAATTCGTGAAAATCACAATCATGGCAATCATCATAACAATCATAACAAGGATCTGCAAAAAAACACTGGGGACAGGGATCCGGTCGGGACACCACCACACAGTCCACCAAGATGCCTGGAATCTTCACCTGCCGGGGATGCAACGAGCCCGTGGCGGCCAAGCGTTCCACTTGCACCAAGACCAGGCCCTGGGAGTTGTGTGCAGCCAGGGCGATGGCCAGGGATTCCAGGAACAAGGCTTCCTTCTCCATGGTGATGTTCCTGAATCTAAGGTGCTGCCTCCAAAGATATTAGGAAATGTTGGGAATATGGCTAGTAAATTGATGGGATTGAAGATGGGATACTTGAGGCCCAGTCCACAGGGAAGGAGTCAAGATGGTTGCAAAGAAGAGGTGTAATGTTCAGCTTTCATTCGTAGAATATGTGAAGCAAAGAACGCGGTTACTGAAACAAGCTGGGGCCCTATCCAGAAGTGTAATTTTTGATTGGGCTGAAATCCTCAACTGTTGATCCGAGTCACAAAGAATCCTATTGGGCCCACTGCCAAATTTTTAGAAGCTCTGGGGAGCTTGGAAAGTGTGAACCAAAGAAGATTGGTACGCGACAAAGCTTGGGCCCCATCCAAAATTATAATTTTTGATGGGGCTCAAATCTACACAGTGTTGACCTGAGTGAGAAAGAACTCTATCGAGCCTAATGTTCTGGTGAGGCATCTTGCGCAAGAGTTCCATCCGAACAACATGTAATCTTCCGTTGCAAGTCGTAAAACATCTGAACCAAAGAAGATGGTGACTCTGTCAAGTTCGGGCCCCATCCAAAATTACAATTTTTGATGGGGCTCAAACGAAACAGTGTTGACCTGAGTCAGAAAGAACTCTATCGAGCCTGATGTTCTGGTGAGGCATCTTGCGCAAGACTTCCATCCGAACAACATGTAATCTTCCGTTGCAAGCCGTAAAACCTCTGAACCAAAGAAGATGGTGACTCTATCAAGTTTGGGCCCCATCCAAAATTACAATTTTGGGGCTCAAACCAAACAGTGTTGACCTGAGTCAGAAAGAACTCTATCGAGCCTAATGTTCTGGTGAGGCATCTTGCGCAAGAGTTCCATCCGAACAACATGTAATCTTCCGTTGCAAGTCGTAAAACCTCTGAACCAATCTATAAAAGTTTGGGCCCCATCCAAAATTACAATCCTCACGGCACATACACTCAACAAATCCTGAGCTAGAGAGTTACAGAGGGACGGCCCTGGCAGGATTTGAGCCCGTGACCATCTGCTTCCGAAACTGCTTCAAAATGCCCCGGGAGCTCGGGAGCTTGGGGGGTTCAAGTGAAAAATCGCTGTGTTGGACTCAGACCTGCCCCTCCCCTTGCTGAAGCAAGAGTAACTCAGCTAGCACCGCTTGCTTTCGTGATGAATATCACTGAGATATCGAAAATGCTTTGAGAATTGTAATATGACCATGGTGATGTTGAGAGTCCTGGGAAGTGCCCTGGGAATCTATAACATTCTATAACTGATTATAACCCCCAGACTTGAAAAACGGAATTGGAAATGGAGATGGAATTTTGGATTCGATGGCTTGATGATGAGACCTACGGGCCTTGATGATGAGACCTACGGAGCAAATATTAGGGGGAAGTGGTTTGGGAGAATCTGTGAAATTGTATGGAATCCATTGTCATTTAGGGACTGGAGATGGGATATCTTGGGTTGATCATAGGTTTGTAGATATGGTTCTACGGGTTTAATGTGTTCTTGACTCGGGACACCAAGGAAGATGGGGAAGATGGGTTAGGATTATGGATTGGAGGTGGGCAATACGGATGAAATACGGCTTGATGATCTTGGCTGGCACTGGGGAACTTGATTTACTGACCAGTGGTTGATGTTATTTGATGTGGCTCAGGGAGCGCTGACCCAAAATCAATTTGAAAATTGAAATGGTGGAGTCCATGACGTTCCGAATCCCATTGTCAGCAATGTTTTTGTTTGCAGTGAGAACGTCTCGGGGCTGAAACTGAAGTTATACTTCATGGGCAGTGAAAACGTCTCGGGGCTGAAACTGAAGTTATACTTCATGGCAATCAAACGTGGATCTACGTTTGAAGCAAAACATGTTTTGTGGCATCATCAAGTTCATCAAGATCATCAAGATGATTGTCATCATCATCATCAACAACAACAACATCATCAACAACAACAACACCCTCACTGCCGTCGCCAATAGACTCTTATTGTGTTTACCAAAAAAGTATGAATCTCCGTCAGCCAGTCACTGGTTCACCTCAAACCGTCAAGTCTCCCATCCAAATCTGCAGTAGTGCCACGTAGCAATGCCACATGCAGAGGCCAGGTCTTGTAGGCCAAGTATGTTTCACCATCAAACCTGGGACTGTCTATGCCTAGGAATCCCATCTTACCAGCTCAAATGTGTATATATTTATATATACACATAAACATATATAATGAACAAGGTTGTATAGATAGATAGATAGATAGATAGATAGATCGATAGATAGATAGATAGATAGATAGAAAGAAAGAATAGATAGATAGATAGATAGATAGATAAATAGATAGATAGACAGACAGACAGACAGATAGATAGATAGATACACAGTATATATATATGTATATATGTTGACTCTATATACATATATAATCATATATACACAATTATACACATATTTTAAAGATATGATGAACCTCCCAGGAATCTTCACCGACCTCAGCCCGGTTGCTGGATGCGTTCCACAATCTCTTCCGTGGTGCGGGAGTTCATGCGGCCACCACCGTTCAGCGGATCCACAAAGGTTTGCAAACCTCAGGTCCGGTATGATATGCCTTGCAGTACGTCGCTGTCTATCTACCTATCTATCTATCTATCTGTCTATCTATCTAATCTACTCTAATTAATCTAATCGAATCTAATCTAATCTAATTAATCTTGTTAATCTACTTACTGTAATCGAATTAATCTAATTAATCTAACTAATCCAATATAATCTAAGCTAAATAATATTATTAATCTAATCTATATATTACAATCTAATTTATCCTTTTAGTCTTATTAATCTAATCTAATCTCATCTAGTCTAATTAATAGAATTAACCAATTTAATCTAACTAATCTAATTAATCTAATCAAATCTACTTAATCTAATCTAATCTCATCTCATCTAATTAATCTAAGCTATCTGTCTGTCTGTCTATCTATCTATTCATGGCTATGTATGGTTATGTAGTGGTATGTATGGCTCTGCATTACGTATGACTATGTATGTTTATGTAGTGCTATGTATGGCTCTGCATTTTGTATGGCTATGTATGGCTACGTGTGGGCATGTATGGCAATGCACAACTATGTATCTATACATCTACTTCTGGACATGTATTAGTGCGTATCTATATCATATATATATATATTAATATACAGTAAAACACATGTACATATACATTTGGGACATATTGGAATGATGTAGTTGATTATATTTCATTCCCGTGAAACTGGTCAGAAACTGGGACCATGGCAAAATGCACTCTTTCCCTGAGGTTTGACGGACTACAAGAACGCACCATTTCTCGAATCCAACAACACCTCTTAGATCCGTTTACATTTACTTGATTGAGTGTAGACCGCATTGCAGCTCGTACGCTGCCTCTTGTCCCTCCCTCTCCAGTGTCCTAAATGACGCTTTTCCTTTTCAGCTGGTTTGATGGGGATTCCCGGTTCATGGCTTATGACAATCTCCGATTCAAGGTGGCATGACCCCCTGTCATCAACCAACAGATTTTTTCAAACTGCTCAGTTGAGCCAGAGGGGCCTACTTTGCTGATGGTGCGAGGTCTTTTCGCTGCAATGTCTCGGAACATGTGAGAGATCACCCCTTGCGGAAGGTTGTAGGCCTTGGTGCATTCTCGCTTGGGAGATTGGGTCACCCCAGTGAACTCCTGGGAATCATCGTGGCCTATTGATAATCATAGTAGATGTATACCGTAAACTGCCGTAAACTGCCGTAAACTGCCGTAAACTGTATACCAAATGACATTTACATATACATACACATGTACATGTACAAATACAAATAAATATACAGATACATACAGATTCTCCTATATTTTGGGAATTGATGTGTCAATACTCAGGTCCAAGTTGTGACCATGACCTCACGGATGCATACGCACAGTGCCATGCCGGAACAAGCTCCAATGCTGGGAGTACCCCTACAGCACTCCATTAAACTAAACTCATTCCATTAATGATCATCATGTTGATTGCCCTTTGAATTCCATCATATATACAGTGATCCCATTATATATCATTATATATCACGATATTCCATGATATCCCATGATATCCCATGATATGCCATATTGTCCCATGAAATCCACACACCTCGACCTGGTTCTGCATCGCCATCTCGCCAAACTTGGGCACCTCAGACCAGCCAAGAGGCGATTGTGTCGGTGGGGAAGCCACTGAAATCAACTGGAAACCAAAGAATGTTGGGATTCTTGAAGTTCCATATATATATATATGTATATATATATATATATATGTACATTATATATATATGTACATTATATATATATGTACATTATATATATATGTACATTATATATATATGTGTATATTGTGAAACATTGTTGATTCCAAAATTCAAATCATATTTCAAGGATTTCAAGACTTTGGGTACATGAAATGTGAGATGCACAAAAGGTAGCGGGTGCGCTTGGATTTGTTCAGTTGGGGGTACGTCTGTGAAGCATATGTCCGCAACTCAAAGTGATGGCCGGAAGGTGGCCTGAAAGTAGTTCCAAAAGCGGTTCAAACTCTTTTTGGGAGTTCTTGTCATTCTTGTCTTTTGTTGTCTTCTTTTGATTTTGCCTATATTATGTCTGTGCATTTGCTTGCGCAAGAACTCTTGGGAAAGCCTCTATCTGCAACCTGCTGCATGAGGCCAGCATGCCAAAATGAATAATTAACCATTTTTGGCTATCATATTCCACCAGGACCTAAGAAAGTTAGGTCCTAGTGGATATGCTGACCTTAGTTTTGCCTTGCATTGCTGGATGGACGTGCAATTTTGTGTGTGTGTGTGTCTGTAAAGCTATTCATTGCCCACTCGGACCTCAGAAATCTTAGGTTCTAATGATTCTAATCATCATTGGGACCATATGAACCTCCCAAAAATAGGTTACGTGTTGCATCATTTCTTTTGGTTGGAAAATCCGCTAGGAACGAAGAAATATTATGTCCTGGTGGATATTGGGACCTTCTGGACCTACCAAAAACTGATTGAAGGTAACCAGATCTTTATCTGATGGCATCAATTTTGGCGCAAGCAACATGCAAAGGAAGAGAGGTTGGAGTATCCTTTTCGAGAAGTCTACACGACCAGGGCATTCGTGCGAGTTCGCAAGCAGCTTCCAATGACCTACATTTTTGGGTACCAGACTGCAATTTTCTTTCAGTGAAGGTGCCAACTGTCCCATGTGTAGTTTGATGTTCCGTGTCCAATTGCAATGTTGATAGGACCGCAAGACAGGAACCACACTTGGCAGAATTTGAAACCTCGTAACAGTGATGCCTTGAATCTCTTTCAGCTAGCTGACTGTTCATCAATAGAGCTCTTGCCAAATACGTCATCCCATCCCTGCATGGCACTGTGAGGCCCCCGGTTCAAAGCCCGAAGCACGAGACCCCAGTGGCCACCAACCACGCGCTTCACCAGTCCTTCGTGGCTGAAGTGGTTCGCACCCTTGTCTCGACCATCCCCTTGACCAGCTGCGTACATCAAGGTGAGATTGCCTGGTTTCAACTGTTGGAATTTGGAAATGTGCCATCGTTTTTTGCCAATGATGCAGTTTCCTCAGGAATCCCAATCAAACATCTTGGTCCTTTCGATGGCACTCAACCGTTGCTGACTTGTGCTGAGATCATTCTGCCAATGTCCAAACCACGACAACTAAGGCAGTCGTTCAGCCCTTCAATAGGTTCATGGCAGTGGAATATACAAATCAAATATACGTACTGTATATATCTTCTCTGCTCACCAAAACTATCAACACATGTGCTGTTTTCGCTGACCATGGATGCAGAATATGAAAACTCAAATCATCTAAAATGTTGTCCAAAACTCCAAAACTACTTTTGACGGATTCTCAAGGTCCAAGTTCAATTTTCATGTTTTCCATGTTGTGGATGCAGCACCCCCAACGGCACCCCCGTTGAGTTCCACCGTTGAGTTACGCGGTTCTCCGGTCCGTTGGAAGCGTTGCTCCACCGCCACAGCCAGGTCCTCGGGAAAACCGATGCCAACGAAACCACCTGCGGGGATCAGCCATGGCCGGAGGGTAAAACTGGGTAAAAACATGGTGAAAAATTGGCAAAAAAATGGTAAAACCTATGCCAAACCATGATTTCTGGTGAAACCACCAATTTGGTTCAGGGATAAAATAACAAAAAAATTACAGTTGAACCCCTGGGTTTTTACGAGGGCGTTGCCAGAAATGTTGCCTTCGTCCATTCCGGGATTTGAACATAATCCATCAGATTCATATTCCATCATCCATGATCAGTGCCTAGCCGGAAGAATTTCTCCCCAAATGCTCACAATGAAAGTGATGTTGCCGTTGTTGATGATGATTATTACAGTATATTATGTAGTTGTTTTCGTATGATTCTGTTTATCATGGTTGCATGGTTGTCATGACAAGTTTGATGGTGTTTGTTATTGACAACAAGCGCTATCTGTTTGGAGAATGCCAATCTGATGTTGAAGCAGTTTAGTGAAGAAAGATGGGAGAAAAGATTTGTCTATCAGCTGCCCACGTTTGTCAAATGTTATGCTAACATCCATGTTTCCAGTCTGCAAACACCAACTTCAACGTCCATGGTGCAGTACATGCGGCTACTATAATCTAAATCCTCTTCGGAAGAGGTTTAGAAGTCAAATTTCCGACAATATGGACAGATGGAAAAGCAGAGGTGGGAAGAGTCAGAGGAGAAGAGACACGAAGAAGAGAAAGATCACAGCAGAGAAAGAATCAGAAGAAAGAAGATGAAGGTGCGCGAAAAGGGAGAAAAGTCGCGACATACTATATTTTCCAATGTTTTGTGGCTCCGGAGGGTCGAGAAGTAGGCTCGCTAAAGCGGCGGAAACACATGTCGAAGTCAAAATGTACAAAGCACCACATGTTCGGACCACTTTTAGAAGTTGAGATGATGATAAAGTGCATATCGTTGTAGCGTGATGAAGCACATTTTCAAGATGTCAAAACCACATCAGCTCCGGAACACAAAAGGAGATGTTGAACAAGGAAGTGGCGCGAAGCACATGTCGAAGTCAAAATGGTAAAAACACACCATTCTCGGACCACTTTTGGAAGCTGCATCATGAGCTGTTGAAAAAGTGCACGCCATTGTGGCGCGAAGCATATTTGGAAGTCAAAATGCACAAAACGCCTCAGTCTCGGAGCACTTTTGGAAGTTGAGATGTTGAATATGCGCACGCTGTTGTGGCGCGAAGCACACTTCGAAATCAAAATTTACAAAACACACCATTCTCGGAGCACTTTTGGAAGTTGATCTGTTGAAAAAGTGCACGCCGTTGTGGCGCGAAGTACACTTCGATGTACAAAAACACACCATTATAAGATAGTTAGATAGATAGATAGATAGATAGATAAATAGATAGATAGATAGATAGATAGATGAATAGATAGATAGACAGATAGATAGACAGATAGACAGATAGATAGATAGACAGATAGACAGATAGATAGATAGGTAGGGAGGTAAGCAGGTTGATAGTGAGAGAAAGAAAGGAGACTCAGACCCTCAACCACCCTTCGTTCCATCAATGGGTTCGCTCTGCCAGCGAAGCGACGGACACAACAACCAAACCTCTACTATAGGATTCCTATCTTTGAAACTTCTGCCACCGCCTTGTGCGGTACTGGTAAATCGCATTAAATCCCCATGTCACCCAGTGGCAAATGAATTACGACCCCCTGTCTGCGCCTGTAGCCACAGTGCTGCCATCCCGGATCCTTGCCACGGCGTCTTCGGCAGACACCACTTTACCCGGCATCGGCAAGAAGCACGGCGGCAAACTCTACATCAGAGCCAGCAGCTGCGGCAAGAGATCAGGAATGCGGGGATTATGTTTATGGATTCATTCCATCTCTAAAGACCTGTACGTATCCTGTATCACCCCGTATCACTGTATAATAAATCATGTGCACACACACAAATACATATCAACATATCTCCGCATATGAATCTCTATATATATATATGTCAGTACATGCTTTAAATATATGATATATATATATGTGTGTATATATATATGTGTATATATATAATTATATATATGTGTATATACATATTATATACACATGCTCTGGTATTTCCACCAAAAAAAATGTATACACAATCCGTGTATGGACAGCTGAAGGAGGCCCACTCCAGGCCTGGTGCGTCCACCACATAGCGACTTGGGCTGTTGGTGATGGCTCGCTTCACGGCCTCAGATCACAGCTGGGTACTGTACCCTAAACATTGGCTAGTTTTAGTTATAACGTTATAACTTATAGTTATAAATATTATATAGCGCATTGGAAGTAGTAAGAAATTTGGATCCACGCTGGTAATTCACAAAACCTGAATTTGCATTTTGGGCTAGTTAACCATCGTTTACAGTGACGTCGAAATAAGGTCGCTGCAATATATCCAGACAGGTATATGTCCAAACAAAAAGTGGTTGGATATCATCAGGAATGGGATCTCACCAATAGAGTAATACGGAGTTGGGATCGGTCCCAGGTTCGCTTTTGGCATGTCGATGGGCTGGGTTCCTAAATACAAAGAATATTGATTGAAACCACCAGCCGAGGAGGTTGGACACGTTGGACCCAAGTGAATCGGATGGCTCCAATCCTTGATGAAAATCCCCAAGTTGCCTCTTTGGTGGCTCCTTTGCGGACCTTAGCGGGTGTGAGGGATCGGTGGAGCCTGTTGGCATATCAACGTATACTATTATATAGTAAATCATTTACTATTGTAACCATACACTTTTTTAAGGTACTACTATATTATATACGCTTTTGTATGTGCATATGTATATATAATATTATATACTCTACCGGTACATCATACAATATAAATAGTGAATCATCGAAGGAAGTTTAGAAGTCAAACTTCCGGCAATATGGACAGATGAAAAGCAGAGCAGGGAAGAGGCAGAGAGAAGAGAAAGATCAGAAGAAAGAAGAGCAGAAGAGAAAGAGTCTGAGTAAGAAGAAAGAAGATGCAGATGCGCGAAAAGGTAGGAAAGTTGCGAAACACTGTGTTTTTCCAATGATTTGGGAGCGGGTGCAGAGCCAGCTGGCCAGATGAGAGATGAAAAGTTGCACGCCGTTGTGGCGCGAAGCACATTTGGAAGTCAAAATGTTAAAAACACCAGGGGTTCGGACCACTTTTGGAAGTTGCGATGTCAAAAAAGTGCACGCCGTCGTGGTGCGAGAGAGAACGAAAGAAAGAAAGAAAGAAAGAAAGAAAGAAAGACAGACAGACAGACAGAAAGAAAGAAAGAAAGAGCGAGCACATAGTCAAAATGTGCAAAACACACCATACTCGGACCACTCTTGGAAGTTGACATGTCGAAAAAGCGCACGCCGTTGTGGCGCGAAGCACATTTCCAAGTCAAAATGTGAAAAAAGACCGCATGGTCGGACCACTTTTGAAGCTTCAGATGTGGTTTTGCGTGGCAGGCGCAGGGATTCTGCACGTTGCTAAGAGTGAGAAAAACGTGAGGGTTTTTGTAGCATTTTTAAAGGCGATGGCAGGCGTGGGACATTTGAAGAGGATCTGGAAAGATGCATTTCGGGTGGCAGGGGCAGTACAAGAGACGTGCTCATCAGGGATATTAGGAGGTCTGGGCGCTGATTTCCTCAGAGGGGTTGCATTCTGGAGCATCAGATCTTCAGGTTTGCTAAGATGGTTTTGCGTGACATGTGCAGCACTTCGTATGACCTGGCATCACTTTTTCGTGGCAGGCGCAACATTTTTACACAGATGGAGTGGAAAAATTGCAAAACACATTGGTACGAGGCCGTCAGCTCTGCACCCAACTTTCCATTATCATTATTGAAGGAAGTCTCGCAGAATTGCTTCGTTTTTGATGCTGCCAACTTCAAAAATTAAGGAAGTCTCGCAAACTTGCTTCGTTTTTGACGTTATCAAGTTCAAAAGTTGAGGAGGTCTCGCAGAATTGCTTCGTTTTACAAGTTGTCACCTTCGAAAATGGAGGAAGCCTTGCAGAATAGCTTCATTTTCAAGCTTGCAGATAGACAGGTAGACAGCTGTTAGATAGACTATCTAGATAGATAGATAGATCGATCGATCGATCGATCGATAGATAAGAGTAGATTGGATTAGATTAGATTAGATTAGATTACATAAGATAAGGCAAGACAAGACAAGACTAGACTGGACTAGATTAGATTGATAGATAGATAGATAGATAAATACATAGATAGGTAGATAGGTTGATAGGTAGGTAGATAGATAGATAGGTAGATAGAGAGATAGGTAGGTAGATAGATAGATAATGAAAGATAGATAGATAATGGTAGGTAGATAATGATAGTTCAATAATGATAGATAGATAATGATTGATTGATTGACTGGTTAATTGACTGATTGATTGATTGATTGATTGACTGATTGATTGATAGGTAGGTAGGTAGGTAGGTAGAAAGATAGATAGGTAGATAGATAGATAGATAGGTAGATAGATAGATAGATAATGACAGTTAGAAAATGACAGATAGATAATGATTGACAGATAGATAGATGGATAGATAGATAGATAGATAGATAGGTAGATAGGTAGGTAGATAGATAGATAGATAGAAAGATAGATAGATAGATAGGTCGATGGATCGATAGATCGGTAGATCGATAGAAAGAAAGAAAGGTAGATAGGTAGATAGACAGATAGATAGATAGATAGATAGATAATGATAGAAAGATAATGATAGATAGATAATGATAGATAGATAATGATAGAAAGATAATGATAGAAAGGTAATGATAGAAAGATCATGATAGAAAGATCATGATAGAAAGATCATGATAGAAAGATCATGATAGAAAGATAGATAGATAGATAGATAATGATAGAAAGATAATGATAGATAGATAATGATAGATAGATAATGATAGATAGATAGATAGATAGATAGATAGATTAATTAGATACATAGATAGATAGATAGATAGATAGATTGACAGATAGACAGGCAGATAGATAGATAGGTAGGTAGATAGATAGATAGAGAGAGGGAGATAGATAGATAGATAGATAGATAGATTGATTGATAGATAGATAGATAGAGATAGAGATAGATAGGTAGATAAATAGATAGATAGATAGACAGATAGATAGATTGATAGATAGACAGATAGACAGACAGATAGATAGATAGGTTGATAGGTTGATAGATTGATAGATAGATTGATAGGTAGATTGATAGGTAGATTGATAGATAGATAGATAGATAGATGGGTAGATAGATAGATAGCTAGGTAGATAGGTAGATAAATAGATCGATAGACAGACAAGCAGATAGAGAGATAAACAGATAGACAGATAGGTACACAGATTTACAGGTAGACAGATAGATAGACAACTGCAGCTACACTACACTACAACTACCACTACAACTACTACAACACTTCAACTACTACAACTAGAAGGGCAACAACTTCAACTACAACTACAGTAAGCATTACACAACACTACAACTACAACTACAACTACAACTACAACTACAACAACTACTGCAACTACTACAACTGCAACTACAACTACAACTGCAACTTCAACTACACTACAACTACAGCTACACCGACACTACAACTACAACTACCACTACACTAGACGACACTAGGTTACAACTACAAGTACAAATAAACGACACTACAACTACAACTACAGCTTCAACCTCCACTACACTACAACTACCACTACCAGTAAACTACACTACAACTACAACTTCAACTTCAACGTCAGCCACACTACAACAACAGTTACCACTACACTACAACTGCAACTACAACTACAGCTACAAATACAAACCCTACAACTACTGCAATTACTACAACCACAACTTCAACTTCACTTTAACTACACTACAACTACAACTACAACCACAACTACAACTACAACATTACAACTTCAACAACATCAACTACAACTACAGCTACAATTACATTGCACTTCGCTGCACCGCACTACATCCTGCAGTTGTGGGTGAGGTTACCACTACAACCACTCCAAAAACCACAACCACCTTTCGGTCCATCAGCGGGTTCGCTCTGCCATCCATGCATCACAACAACTCACCTCTCCGATAGTTTCCTATCTTTGAAACTTCCGCCACCGCCTTGTGCGGTACAACTGGTAGTGATATCTCATGTCCATAAGCACCACATAAATCAACAATGCCACATGGCAGCTTTACGTGAAAGTGGTATCGGTTCAATTTGAAGATAGCCTCCACCCGACCCATCTACCAGGACCGTCTCCATCGCTGAGTTCAAGACCAGCGCTGTCTTGGCAGTGCGACTTCCGCCCTTCTCCTGACACGGACAACTCTGAACCAGGTGTGGACGCTCCAGACTTCATAGCTTCTTATGATAATGCGAAAAAAAAATGAAAATAAATTAACCATCAAGTTGGGATGTTTTTTCCCCACCATACTCTGCAATGAGATTAGTCATGGTCAACGCCCTGAAGGGGTGGCCATAGCCTCAGGTCCGTGGTGCAGCTTAGAATGTTGGAGTTGTGGCTGCATTATATATCCGCGTATCCTCAACCATTATTTTAGTGTGTGTATTCGTGACCTTGAAGGAAATGTTGATACAAGCTATTTCTGGTAAAATGGGAATGGTTTGTTATTGGTGGTGTCAGACTCTCAGGAACTGTCAGTACATCTATGTACATCTACAGGGTCAGTATGTTATAAATTGATTTGATGTAACTGATGCACTTCACAAAATGAGCAGCAAAAGCCAACAGTCACAGGGGACTCCCAGGCCGTTCCTTCGCTCCACAGCATCTCCCCATCTCCTGTGACAAAATGCCATAGACGATCAGCTCGGTACACACTGTTCCAAAGCCTTGGCTACGAGGCTTGTACGGCATGGTACCGCTCTGGAAGCCAAAGGAGGTGGTTCCCATGAAATCACCAAACCCTCTGGTAATTCAACATAGCTATTGACACTGGCACATTTAGTTCGATGATTTACCTTGATTTACCTCTTAAAGATCTGTGAGATTTCCGGAGGCTAATGGCTAATGGTCAAATGATGGTTAATTATTGCATCATCAAAGCCACTTTGAGGTGTCAGTGAGTCGCCGGGTAGAAATCATCTTACAAGTAGAACGAAGCAAAACCCTACTTGAACATCAGGGCATATCAGGGCACCAGGTCCAATCAGCTGGAACCTTCCAATAAGCTCAGTTCGCAAATCGCGTCGAAAACAGAAACCACGACCCTGATTTAGCTGAAATACCCTTGGTCTTCATTGTCCTCCCAAAAGTGGCAAGCTTCATTCCCACATCTGCTAGGCCAGGGCAGGCCAACTTCGAAATGTCGAGAATCTGTGGGAGGCCTGGAAAATTTAGTTGAAAAGCTGCTATGTCAGCTATGTGCCAAAACATATTGGTGAAAAAAATGGCTCAAGGAGGATGGCCCCAGGGTCCTGGCTTCGTCTCACTGCTTCCTCTTGAGCAGCATAGATCACATTGATGGCATCTTCTCGAAATCGGTCAAATACCTTGGGCGGGACACGAGATCACTTGGCATCCTAGTTTCATCTTGGTTTCATCATTGTCACCCTGATCTGAATCATAACCACCCAGTATCCAGTGAGAAGATCCCAAGTCATTCCGGGCCAACTATTGCAGCCACCCATCCAGCACCTAAAGTCCTGGGCCTCTGACCCTGGTAACAGTTCGCACCTCAGGGTTGCAAATGAACCCAGCAAGGCAGAAACACTGAAGGATCTTTTAGGAGTTTCAACAGGATCAAGCTGCCCTCCGAACTTGGCAGGAGTGGAATAGAACATAATATAATATATATATATACTAGAACGAATTATAGAACCTATGGAGTGAATCAAAATGAATCGTGAATAAATACGAAATCTGTTCAGAGTTCCTGTGCCATCTCGTCACCTAGTACACCTGGTCTCATTTCGGTCAAGCGGCCGATCGGGATGAAGATGAAGCACCTCAAGGGCACTGCTGTAGCTACTGTGTTGTTGGGTTGTGAAAAAAATACTTGGATGGCATCAAAGCCAAGAACCTTGAGAGAAGTGTAACTGTGTAATTGTTAGTTACATCATCTGGATGTGGCCAATATTAATGGATTCATTCAAAGAGGCGTGACTGCAGGCAGGCCCAAATCATACAGCAGCACCTGAAGGGCGTCGACTCTGGAGGCGCCTAAACCAGTGAGATCACCCACTTGGCATGGTGGCTCCATGGGTCTGGGTGTGGGAGTCATCCTTGAGCACCATTTGACTTTTGACTATCCTTGAGCAAAACTCAAGTTGAGATGATCGAGTCGCCTGTTGATCCGTCAAGATACATAATATATATATATATATATAATTATGTATATTATATAATTATATATATATTATATAATTCTATAATGTTTGATTGAGTCGCCTGTTGCATTGCCAAACAGGGCTTGTGAAGAAACCTGCCAAATATTCGGTCACAGTTGGCCCTAGTGTGAGACCAGGGTAATGACCACATGCTTGGTAGTCACAGTTGCAGGGTGGATTTTATCCAATCACCCATTCCATCGACACCTCGCCTTGCTACTGCAAAGGTAGCAGCTACACCTTCCGAGCAGGAGAGATAGTTCACACCAGCGCAGCATGTTTGTTTATGCTCACGGCTCCATGGGCAACATGTGGAAAAAGAAAAAGTGTGTTATTGATGTGGCGCGGTTGGGGTGGGGTAGACGCTGTTGGTTGCTGTGCTCGTGACCTTACACCAGCTTTAAGTGCTACTGTCTGCCCACTAGTACGTTCATAAAGTTGCACAGGTACTTGCTGCTCAGCTGATGAACTTACAAACGCTATTTCTTTGCTGCGCTCATGACCTTGCATACGCAGCTGCTGCTATGCTGATGAAGCTGCACGCGCACTTGCTGCACATGAAACATCGCCGTCTCCAATTTGCAAAACCCATGAAAAAATAACCGGAACATTATGACAATAGGAACTCAGGAGACTGATAGAAGGTGGGAGCGCCGAGACAATATCTTTCTTCGAACTTGGAACAACAATGGCAACTAAAACGATCAATGATCAGCAATGGAACTATATGTACGGCTGGCAGAGGTGCGACAATGCAGACCATATCGACACAAACAAACACAGACGTGCGTTATATAGACAAACAATCTATACATATCTATACATATATCTTGACCTCCAAGTGTGAGAACTCTGGATGGTTCCCAGCTGTTCCCAAGCACACAGAGTAGGTCATCCGCCGACTTTCATGAACCTTCGCTTTCGCTTTGTTTCCAAAAAGTTGTACTGAGATACCCTGAAATTTGGTCATTTCTAATCGGTAAACCTAGGTAAACCCTCCCAATGTATCCCAATGTTGGCAGTTCACTTCCCCCTGAGGTGCAGATGAAATCCGCACTGAAATCCATCGACTCCAGATCGACTCCAGGTCTCCACACCCAAACCGCTGTGTCCAAGCTGTCTGAGGCCCTGGGACTGGCTGGACTGGCTGGACTGGCTGCAGTGTCGAGCAACTGGAACCGCTGCGTGCGCGGGAATCTCCACCTCGGCACGAGATTCACCCAGCTGAGGTGACAAAAAACGTGGTTTCTTCATGGTGTTTACCGTTTACCGGTTTTTAATGGGTTGTTTACGGCATGCGGCTGATACGCCACCCTTGGAAAGGTTGCTTATGTCGAGATGTGCCATTTACGATCCCGTGGAAGGGTTCCAAATTGGAAAAAGATATTTGCGAAAATTGGGGTTCAGGATTTGAATTCTGGCTTTGTTCAACATGTTGCACATGCTCTCGTATGGTCATCGGGGGGTGGGGGGGTGTGATAACGATCTGGACGAGTATTATACATGGCCCACTGAACTTGGTGCCGCTGTTAACATGTTGATACATGTTGCACATGCTCTCGTATAGTCATCAGGGGGTGGGAGGGTGTGATAACGTTCTTGACGAGTATTATACATGGCCCACGGAACTTGGTGCCGCTGTTAACATGTTGCACATGCTCTCGTATGGTCATCAGGGGGCGGGGGGTGTGATAACGTTCTTGACGAGTATTATACATGGACCACGGAACTTGCTGCCGCTGTGTGCGAGAAAAAAAAGGGTACTCTTGGGCTTACAGCTGGACATGGCGTCTTAATGTCACCTTGATTTGCCTTGTTGGAGTCTGTGGCCGTGGCATTGCCGAAAGCCCTTTGGGACTGAGGCTTCGAGAAGAGAAAAGACATGGATCGGTGGATGTTTGCATGGGATAATTGAAAATCATAAATCTCTAATGTGTTGTTTTAGCCCTCGAATAACAAAATCGATTCACGCGCAGGCGAAACGCAAATTTTGACACTTGAGTCACACGCCTGCCAATCGAAATAAATGTCCATGTTGCAAGGATTTTTTGACAAGTCCCACAAATACCAGCATTTTATCTTTTAGCCTCGAAAATCTCAATTTCAAATTTGTCACCCTTACAAGGGCGGCGAGTCAACCAGTTGCCTATGTGTTTAATAGTTTCACGGTGTTTGCACCATCCAAATATGTTGTGGAGCTTCTGCCCGATGTCTCCCATCTCCAAGCTGCCCCAACCGGAACGGTCAACGCCATGGCAAGTGAGGTATGGCACACATTCGATGCCGGGTCCAACTGCAAACTCGAATGTGCAGTCAGATCTGTTGCTGAATGGTTGCTAGACCTTGCACCCTTGTGTCACGCTGCTAACAATCCCCAGCAATCGATTTTCTGGACCACTTTGTACCACAAAGATCACAAAACCAACTTTGCGGGATAAGAAAACACAAGCTTTTGGTGTTCCAATATGTTCCAATCTTCTCTCTTTCCAAAAGCTTCCACACGGTGTCGTGTCCCAGCCGCATTTGAGGCTTTGATACTGTGGATGTCACCGGTCACTGCTGATGTGGTCTAGCTTGGGATCAGATTCAAGGTGAAGGTCAATATCCGGGCCCCATATATATGCATATAAATATAAACATCTAAAATACATATAAATTCAATAAGAAACCCTTGGACATAGGCCCCACGCATTTGAAGTCCTCAATCCTGACCCATCCCAACCTGCTCATGGGGAACTTTTTTCGCGGCGAAACTGGTCGACATCTTCAGCCTTGAGGGCCAAACCCAGGGGCTTTCCAGAGGTCGGCTTGGGCACAGCATCAAGCCCCTCTCGAGCTGCTGAAAACTGCAGATGTTCCACCGATGGGTCAAAATGGCCATCACTTGGGGGTCCAAAGCCACCTGAATTTATCAATCAACCAAAATCAACGGCACTGCAATGGCAGTCGCCTGGCAGCCACTGGAGAAGGGCGGATGTTCAACGATAGAAGGCAACGTCCAAGCTCAGTTTGCCTGGAAATCGGAATTTCTCGGTCAATGGACTTCTTAGGTCCAAGTCTCCACCGGATCCAAATCTAGCCGATGGTTCTGGAGACCTTGGAGACCCAGAAACTTACCATACCAGGTTCAAAGTATCTCATCATGTTCATTGGTTTTGATCCCTCTTGTACAGCGATTCCAAGTATTTAGTCGAATCTATTCGCCACCCGTTCATGGCTTAGCGAACCCGTCGTCTGGCTGCTGTCAGTTCAAAGAAAGGTCAAAAAAAGAAACAGCACACATTCGTAGAGGCTTTATCGGCTTTATGTTTACTCGGCTCGCATTGTTGTATCCCTATTTTCTGCTACATAATTTTGGTTATGACATCAAAACGATTATATACATAATAATTATATATATAATGTACAAACATGTACAATCATATATATATATATTATTTATACATCCATTTTTTGTGCCGAAGATCCTTAGCATATTTGATTTCGCCCATTCCATGCTTGCGACACACGGGGACCAATGGCTAATCAGTCTAAGTCTTAAACCTCATTCAACCATCCCGATTTCAGCGGGCTGATCGAATTTCCTCTCAATTTCCCAATTCAAATACGGCTTAGTGTGAAAATAGGGTACTTGTATACCCCATTTTGGGGGTACTTGTACACACCATTTTCAGACACATGCAGCATATGTTAAGATGGCATCAAGTGTGTGTGTGTATATCTATCTATCGTATCTATATATCTAATATACATACATATAGAGTGTCCAAAAAAAGAACTCACCCAAAAACTCCTAAAACTGCAATTTTCATGGCCATAGGTTGAGGCGATTTTCTCCCAACAAGAAACGCCGGGAATCCCGTGGCGACCGAGAATCGTCCAGGCGCTCCGCTGGACCGGCGCTCAGCAGCCGCGCAGCCGGCCGGGTCCAGCGGCGGCCAGGACAGAGGCTTCAGGGCACAATGGACACGTTGAAGCCACAGGCGAAGCTCTGTTGGATTGTTTTAAAAATATTGGTGATGAGTGGATTTTAAAAGTTTTAAAGGGAACGAAGATGAACGAAGTGTTTAGCACTTCAATTGGCTGAGTTCCTTCGGTGCCGCTTCACTGTCCCCGAAACCTGAGTTCCTTCACACGCCCACAGGGTGGTGAGTCGGAAAGCCATGAATTTCGAGGATTTACTGAGGTGGTGGATCCAACTCCAGGATACCCCTGCTATCTTAGAAAATCGAACTGCCGACCCAACTTGGACCTTCCGAATGGCCGCCTTGGGGCATGAACTGCAGGTGAAATCTGCTGGAACTGTCAACCATGGAGTGTGACAGCCCTGCACTTCGCGGGTCCAGAGTTTCGGGATGTTAGGGGTACCTTTTCGGGGGCCGAAAGGTTTCAACCATAACCCACAATGGCTGGTATGGATGGGATATGGAGTACCATTCCAATGGTCCCATTGGTACCCAGCCCCATCTACAAATTGGATGCAACCTGATGAACTAGCTGGGCACTTTGAACCACTGGGTCAAGACCCCCAGATTCAAATAGTGAAAACCTGGACCCGCCCGTCTGGTGTTAAATCCAGAAATCTTCTCATTGGTGATTTCAACTTTTAAAAAACGAAGAAACGCAAAAAATCTGTTTGTGAAGTAAAGCATTTTCGTACTTGCAAGTTCTTGAAACCACCAGTCGTACTTTGCCATTCTTTTGGGGCACAGCTTGTCGTGTTTTTTTCGCCGCCGCCAGCCTCCCGGTGGGGGTCCCGATCTAAGGATGTGCACAGGGGTCGCCGTCGCCTCACTCGGCCGCCTCCTCACTCTTAGGTTGTCCTGTCACGACTGTCACGATGCGACAATTTGCACGTCCTGAAAAAAGAAAGACCAAAGTGCCATCCTTTTAAAGCACGTTGAAGCAACAACTTCTGGTCACCAAGTCACTTCAGTTCCAAAATCTCTCCCAAAAAAATTGAAGCCCTGGTCTCTGGTTGCAATTTGCAGGACAGACCCAGTACTGTATGACCTTGTTCTGTATTTGCAAAGTTCCAAAGCGTGTCCCAGTGGCCTTCGCTATTTCCTCGAGTCAGGAGTGATAAACGGATGGCTCGCTCATCCTGCGGGCAAGTCATCGGAAATTCCCGCCATAGTTGGTTTTCATAGGGATCGTATATGTAATGGATGATGATGTGTGTAATGCCCAATACATCAAGGGTAGGTCAATCCCCACATGTGATCATCAACCTACAAACAAATCAAATCTTCTCCAGCCACTTTTGAACTATGGAGTGCAATCAGTTTTACATTAAAAACACATGTTGACGTTCATTTCATCAGCAATCGCATGGTACGGAGAGCGAACTCATGTTGACATCCCTGTCATGTCGGGGGTTGTTACAGGGTGTCGGGTGGCAATACAGTCGATCAGTGACATACTCACACTCTGCTTCTCCAGCTTCAAACTTCACCACATGAAATCCATTTCCACAGTACTTCTTTCGCACTTCCTATAAGCTGCAGCATTTCGGACACCGCTTGTTTCAGCTTGTTTCTGAGCATTGCATAGTATTGTATAAGATTAATATTGTATGTATCTACCACCGTGTTGATGCTCCGGGAAGATGTGCTGGAGGCCTGTAGCAACCATGTCGTGACATGTGATAAGTAGGTTCCTTTCTCATGGGGTACGAGTGTAGGAGTAGGTTCCTGTTTCACGGGATAGTAGTATCGTTCCTGCTTCATGGGGTAGGATGAAGTTCCTGTTTCACGGGTAGCAGTATGTAGTAGTAACGTTCCTGATTCATGGGGTAGGAGTAGATTCCTGTTTCAGAGAAAATGGCACTTGATGATGCAAACATTTTGAGACAAATGCTCGTCACAAAAAACAATTGAACAAAGCACCAGGTGAGAATATTGACGAGGTCGGACCAGGATATATTCACAGGCTCCCTTACAGACCATGTGACCCCAGGGGGAAGACATGGAAAACCAACAACTTGGGCAACATCCGGATGGTTGGGCATCTTTAAGGGCTATCCACTTTAACAATTTGAAGACTTTAGATGACTTTAGAGGTGGAGGGTCATACCCCTGAATTAGCTGATGAACTGCTCATTTTGGGGCACTCCAGAGGTTCCACACTTTCAGTTGTCAAACGCAACTCTGAAATGTTAAAGTAGGCTCTCGAAATCATTTTTTGCAATGAGGTGTCGAATCCCAATGATAAAGTTAACCATCCCAACTTTAAGCTCACTTTAAAACTCTCTAAAACTCAGTAAGATTCCTTAAACATTTACAGCACTTTAAAACATGTTTAAAGCTTAAAGAACTTGCCAGAGCTTTAGAGAGCTTTAAAGAGCTTTGAAGTTGTTTTAAAGAGGTTTTAACAAATAAATTTATATACCACATTTTCAACAGGTACCAGGGTCACCTCGACAGCGGTCTCCCTCTACAGCTATGATATATGTATATACCATATGCATGATATGTTACATACATACATATATATATATTACCTGTATATATATATACACATATATGTATATGTATGTATTATATATATATATACATTACATGTATATATATATACATCTATATATATATATTACATATACATTTCATATGGTTGATTATACATCCCACTATATCCTCATTATATTCCCAATAAAATCCGATTCTATCACCAAAGAATGGTAGTATCCAAAAAAATATGACTATCCCCATAGAATCGTACAGTAGTAAACATCGGCCAGAGATCATTTGTCAATCGCATCCCCATATGTTCAATGATTAAACTTTTACTATATCTCAATTGTCAAATTCCCATTTTAATCCCACTAGACTTGACATGTTTGAACGCAACGACAAGCCAAGGATGTCATAAAACAATCTGGGGCCACCTGATGTGGATGGTATGATGGTTGAAGGCTGAAGAATCCAGAAGGCAAATTTCTCCACTGCCTCACACTGATCCAGCGCATCCCATTGCCAGTCCTGTGCACTTCCGCCTACAGGCAGCTGATTCAATGAATTGGCCTGGACATGTGGGGACAGGCTGGACCCACGCAGCGATCAACTGCATTTTGATGGCTGCACCGACGTATCAACATAGACATCTATAAATATAGATCGATCGATGGATCGATGTGAACTAGAGAGAGAGAGAGAGCATGGTTAGACTGTATACTACAAAAACCAGACATGGACCCAGACATGGACATGCAACCGACAGTCGTCTCAGTCATAGAGACAACGTGACTGTCGCAGAACTTCACGAATCAGGTCACCTGTCACTTGCCATCAGTGGAAGCTGATCTGTAGTATGGTCAAAACATGGTATGTGAATTATGATCATCCCACCATCATTACGGATTCCATACAATGGAATATATATAAACCCTATTTAAAAGGATTGATGGCCATCTTCCAATATGGATCAATATGATTCAATATGTGTATATATAATATATCATGGTATATCATTTATATCATCCAAGTTTTGTTTACCCACGAGGCAACACCTAACGACATGGCGGAGGTACAGCAGTCGATTGATTTGGGTCTTGCTCCGCACGCAAGGTCAGCACAGTCCGTCCCATCTGTATGGAGATGTTCACACCTCGTGGAGGACGGGGTGAGGAAAACAGGGCAGGTACAAATATCAAAAAAAAACAAAAAATATGACCATGGACCAGTGAAATCCAGTGAATACAGGTGATGGATGGTGATGGTTTCCCAGCTCAGCCCTAGCTGAGCTTGAGAATCAGGAAGGCTTTGAAGGATCAATCCAGTCCACAATGGGGCCCATGGGGGTCACATGGGGTCACCTCTTTCCTGCCTGTTTACGTGACGGTCATGAGCACGTTACTCTCAATCATCGTGTTCCAAAGTTTCAATGCCCACCATTTTTCACCAGCACTGTGTGTTATTCCACCCAAAAAAAAGCATGCCTTTATCCACCGGTGGCGATCTTTGGACAAAAATCCATCTGAAAAAATCCCACCTGGCTCAAGGACCCGAGGCTTCTTCATAGCCACTAATGTACCAAATTTGGAGCTGTTGTCCTGATGGCTGGTGTCATGGTGCCCATGGTGGAACGGCAAGAAGTTGGCCCTGATCTTCTTGGCGAGTTCAACCCATCCTAAAAATAGGAGTCATATAAGAGTCAATTGGGATCATGATTCCAGAAAGGATGGAAGTTTAAAGAATGTTTGAAACTGGCCCAATTAGATCAATTAGTTCCTTCTGGGATTGGGCAAAGGTCCTGCAGCAAAAACTGGCCCTTACCTGGCGCACATCCACGTGTTGTTGAATGCGAGGAGCCGTAGGATCCGAGGGATGAACCAATTTTATCAAGAAGTCCATCATGAACTAGGAGGACTACAACTTGGCATCTGCCCAGGTGTGGGGCGGGTGTGCAACTTGACTGCGTAGTCATAATGTTGTGACTCTCTGTGGGCGGAAGAGACCCAAAACTGGTTCGAAAAGACTTGGGCATTGGGACATCTCCCGGCAGATGTTCCCCTGTCATCTGCGTACGATTCAGGTGTCGATCCCGTTCATGAGCTTTCCTCAACCAAACCCTCCACCTACTTTGCATGTCTTGTTTCTTTGTGCAACTGGGAGGCGTCCCAGTCTATTCTCCATGGGTCAACATTGAAACTGGTGAATATTCCATCCCCATCGATTCTCGAGACCAATCCCCAGCTGATGCCCCCGCTGAAGCGAATGGTCGCGTGCGTTCGCGAGATGGAAACCTGGGAGTGTCATTCCCATCCCTTGAGGAAGCAGTGGGTATGGATGGACCCACAAAATTGCTCGTGTCTTGTACTCAATCATGCACCAAATGGTGGGGTTGATCATTCTGCCACACCCTGTTGGGATAGAACACACTCAGGGGATTGCGGAACTTTTGCATCAACCCCTTGAAGCATTTATCACACAGCTGTCGTAATTCTGAGGCTGAACTCATCCGAAAAACCCTAACTTAACATTGAAAATGAGCAGCATGTCCATCTTTCAGGTATAGTACAGCAAATGTAGTGTAGCTGTTACGCACATCTTTATATACACTGTAATTATATGATACAGTACAGGTCATGCATTTCTATCAATACAGGTGCTACTAGCACTGCGTAGCCATTTCATGCCATTTCTATGATTGGGTTGGAGATTCTCACCCAGAGTTTCTCTGGGGCATCCGAGCATCTGCAATTCGAACGTCGCTTTCATGTCCTCTACCAAGTTTCAATTCCTGCCGACAGGAATGGATCGGGCCCAGATCCGAAGAACGTGAAATGAAACTGGCAAAAACAATTGGCAAGTGCGCAAGAAATGAGATCAACAAGGGATCCGCAGCAATGACGGGGAAGGAGTGATGCGCCGCCATCTCCGCAATGCAACCCCGGTGCCCCCTTCTCACTGGCCTAGACCCTTCATGGATACCAAGCAGAGCAAATGTTTGCTGAGATGCATCACATTTTCACGCACAAAATGGATTCTTTGATGCTCAAAATGACCAATTTTAAGTTGTCCCATTGAACCATTGCTACCTGGGTTTGGGCCAAATTTGCGTCCTCCTAAAAATGGATGATTACAATTGGTGAATACTAAAAAATACTAAGTTAATAGACATTCCATGACATTCCAATCAGTGGTTTTTTCCAGATCCCCATAGGTCCCCAGTCGCTGCCAGTCGCTCCTTCTCAGCGAGCGAAATCACGTGCAGTCCACGGGTGGTATGCTGCTGAGAATCTCGAACCTTGGCCGAGCCATGGCCGAAATGTCCCAGGATTTTTGCTGCGCCGCTGGGAGCTTCTTCCCTTCAACGGTCGCGTAAGAAAGTAGAAATGTGTACAGTATATATAGAAATATTGAAAAATCCGCTTTAGATTCTGTAGATTCTTAGATAGTTGGAATATGCTGGAATTAGAACCTGTCGTTTGATAATCCCAAAAAGTCAATGGTTGAAGTCCCACCATTTCCCAAGTCAGACTGGCACTCTTCTCGGATTTGCTGCGGCTCTAGAATCCCTGCGTCTGGAAAAAAAAGAATATCTTCAGGAAATCCTAGGGTTCTGGCCATGTTCTCCAGAACGATGAAAGGCGGATGTGTCCAAGGAACTTCAACTAGAGGCGACCTCTCCTGGCCCTGCAGTGTTGCATAGGTCAAGAGCACTGAGAAAGACAACTTCGGAGACAAGATCCCACATGATCCCACATGATCCCGATGTTTCGCAGCCATGTCAACCAGCCAACAGTGGGCTCCGGACACTGTTGGTGTGGATATAGGTGGGATAGATCGATTTGCACAGCTCACAGGTCAACGGCCTGACGGTGACGGAAGATCATCACAGGCACTGGCAAAGAACCATGCTTCCGGAACCAACAATCATAGGAATCATAGGCTTGCAAACCCTAAACTCTAAACAATCTAAACATGGGTTGCTGTTGGTTCATAGGCTCTGTTTGATTAGCAGCCCCTTGATAGGGGTTGGATATGAAATTACCAACAATGAGCTGCCGCGTGTTTGCGGGCGGGAGCCGTCCCATCTCGCCATGGCAAAAAAACACCATGTTGAAAAGGCTCGACTCGATCTTCAGTCTGCAAAAACAGGGGGTTCCCGGATGCAAATGGAACTAATTAAGTGACTATACAGGGAGATTGACTCATGAGCTGGCAATGCTTTGCATTTTTCCAGCCGCGGAAACATCCGCTGTGCTCTGCAAAACGATTGTATTGGACAGGCCGACTGACGGCAGATACTGAAACAATCGAGACGGCCGCTTTGTCTACAAATGGACTCATCTGCAAAAGAAATCGATGTCATACCTGCCGCTCATCCATATTTCTCAAAATACTGCAAAACATCCTTGTGGAACTGGATGGCTTCTGCACTTGACTTCGACCAAGTAAAGTTGGCATTCGCATTCTTCCGAGCTTCCGCTTTCATCTTCTCCAGCGGCCCACCTGCACCAGTCGGCTCCGGGACCCAGTGCGCATCCGTGGAGCCTTAAATACATGAAGAACCCATCCCATCCAAATCACCACCATTGATCACCCAGTAAATAAGCATCACTATAATTATTATAAGCATCATCACCCAAAAAAAATCAGCATCAGGATTATCCATCACTCGCCTGCGATGTCCTGGATGGCTCGTTTCGCATCCTCCATGTCCTTGGCTCATTCGAAACCACAACTCTCTCAACATATCTGATGAATTAACCATTATAGTTCATGTATCATTATTGAAAGAAAAACACAAAAACACATTCAAAAGATCGCATACCACTGTTTATATCATTTACAACATATTTAAAAAATGAAAAACACATATTAAAATCCATTAAAATCCTCAGCTCCAGGTCTCCAGTGGTTCATACAACCTGCCGTTCACGCCATCTGCCACCACCAGTGGCACCGCCACCGCCCTGGGGCCCACCACGGCCAGGCCTGCGGCCTGCGACTCGATGAAGACCAGGTCCAAGGTGCCGGTGACGGTGGGGGAGAAGAAGATGTCCTGTAAAGAAACGACCAGGGACGACCAGGGTTAAGAAACGGTAAAAAAAAAAACGGTGAATTTATCATTTACCCATTTTGATGATGAAATGACGATTTTTCATTATCATGTTTATGATTAATGATCATGAATCTATGGTTAATCTACCCATAAATGATCAGATGATATCATAAATGTGTTGATTTAACCTATTTATAGTTACCTACATAAATGTGTTGATTGAGGCAACTAACTGTAACTAGCTCCTCAACTACTCAACTACCTGATATGTTGGAATATATAGGTATCTCCCTGGAAGCTCAAAGAACAGGTGGATTCTGGGCACTTTTGATATGTTTTAATGATTATAATCATTGATTGTCTAAGAAAGCTCTATGGGAATTGTTTAAATTTTTAATGATATCTCTATGTTGTGTGTTTGAAAATGAGGTATACTAGGTATACCATGGTATACCATCCCTCAGTTTATGGCACTTCAAAAATGGGTTCCAAGGGATTTCCCTTCGCGAAGTGTCCGCCGAGGCCACAGCTGCCGCGAGCTTCTCGCCCGTGACGGCACCGGGCATGTAGACATCGGGGCGATGGCCGATCTCCTGATGAATCGACTCCCAGGAATCGCCATGGCCGATGATGGCGAAGCGACACAGCTCAGCTTCACAATTCGTGACCTCGGGAACGATGGGAACTGGATGGAACTGGATGGAACTGTCACAGTGGCAATACAAAAAAAGGAAATGCTGAAAATGCTAGGCATTGCTAAGTATTGATAGGAATTAGGCTCTTCACTGTTCAATAGTGATCCAAAAAAAAATAGACACACAACTAATCTAAGCCAGCATCAAAAATATCAAGACAGTAGTTTAGCAACTGTACTTTTAAACCCATCCCCCTAATATTAAACACACCCAACAAGGAACCCCCAAACAAACATGCAGATCCAGTACTAAACCGGGGGTTTCAAGGGCATATTTAATATTCGGGGTAAGGGATTACTTCATGAAATATACTTTACTGTACATGCTTTAAATATCATTCTGTGGACCCTGAAAAACATCTTTTGGTGCAGCAACGCGACCTTCACCAATTCGATGAGCTTGTCCACTTGTTTCTCCGGTGAAAGGCGTCCCACAAAGATCACAAGAGGAAGGTCAGGTCTGCCATTGCTGCAAAGTGCTCGCCTTTGTGCGGGACGAGCTAAACGAGATACACCCGTCCTCCTTTCAATTTGAGGCGCCGGAAAGAATGTTATCATGACCACAGGTCGTCTTCCCAGCTTTGCATAAAGGGATTTCTACAGTACACAACTAACACAAAAAAAACTATATATATATATATATACGTATAAAAATAACATAGCAAAGGTCTTCAAAATATCTCAATCTTCACAGCTCGAGTTTCATTTCCTGGCATGCTTTGGAAGGATGGAAGAATCCCAAGTCGCATCCGGTTGACCAAAAGCGAGTGTTCGGATGTCCCTGGCAGGTTTCGACATTGAAACTTTTCTGGAGATGACTGGAGTCTCTGTGAGCATGACTGGAATCTGAAAAAAGGTGCCCTCTGGTAAACATACAAAAAGCTATTGAAAATGGCCATTGAAATAGTGGATTTTCCCATTAAAAATGGTGATTTTCCATAGCTATGTTAAATTACCAGAGGGTATCTCTGATGTACGCAATCCTAAAACATCACGGAGAAGCACCAGAGTCGATCTCAAAAAGGACTCGGAAATGGCCTGAAACCAACTTTGCTCCTTCTGCGAGCCATCAATGAGTAGGTGGCCAGTGGCTAGTGGGAAGATTACCTCACAAGCAGCTCGAACGACTTGAGGGGAGTAGTCCCCAATGAACCCTGGCACGTAGGTCGCATAAAGGTCGATGCGGGAGTGATGCGAAATCACCACGGGAATTCCCAGCCACCAAAGGAAGGGCACCACAAAGAATGCACATGGAGTGAAGTCGAAGAATTGGATGATGTGCGGTCTGAAGCGAAGCAGTGCCAACAAGAAGTGAGGGGACGGTAGAGTGATCCTGGGCTGACGAGCAAAGCGTGCACTTCCGACCCAATAACAGAAATGCTTGTGAGATGTGGACACCTTTTTGGAGTCCAGGATGTAATCCTGAATGGACGTTGATATCTTTCAATGCGATGTTAGAAGAGCCCGAAGCCAATCTTGGAGTGTTACTTGGAGTGTTAGAAGATGTTAGAAGTTGAAAATGCAACCTCATCAGTGTCAAGAATCTTGTGCTTTGGCTGCACTTCCACCCCTGGTCCACGCGTCACTGTAGCGCCGTAGTTCTCAGGTGCCAAGTGGGTGGTTGGGCTCCCATTGCTACAAAAAACATGGACCTTGTGACCGTCTCGGACCAAGGCCTGGATGGTGTTCCGGGCGAAGTTCTGCACACCATCCAACTTGGGTGGAAAGGAATCACCCGACAGCAGCACGCGCATCTGTTCTCCTGGAGTTCTTCCGCATCGAACCCAAGGCCCCAAGGTTTAGCGGATCTCTTAACGCCAGCAATAATGGCAGTGAAACAATCCATCCACCATCCATCCACCCCAGTCCTGGCTTGGGGCACCCTGCCCAAGTCAGCTTCAGCAGCGCGGCGCGAAAGATCTTCAACAGCACCATGAAGCTAGTGGCGTACAGCAGGGCACTCGGCCATGCAAACTGCAAAATGCAGGACAAGGTCGCCTGGAAAATGGGAAATTCGCAGGAAACATCATAAAACCTTGTAGAAATCCATGGTGAAGATAGTTATATAAACAGGTAGAGAGCATGCGTTTCTGTTTACTTATGTTTACGTTTTCACCTGAGATAAATTACACACTGGATCATACTGGAAAGGCCACTGACTGTGTTGTGCACTGAAAGTTGTATCTCAACACCTATGGAAGCTCAGCCCAGCATTAGAACATTAGCCTGGAAGAGGCACATGTGGAAAAAACGAGAAACCTTTCAGTTCCGGCCAGTGGCGACCGGTGTCACTGTGTACTTGAAATAGGCAAGGAGTTGCCGCAGGCGTCTGGACAGCGCCTCAGTCTGCTTCTCTTTGGTGGATTCGTAGTGCCTCTCTGCCACTGTGACCAAAGTCAGGCAGATCATGGCGATAACCAAAGCCATGGCCATGTCCGCGAGGGGCACATGAAACCGCCAGTTCACGTAATAGATCATCAACATGCTGGACCCATAGACTGTACCAAGGGCTGCCAAAACAACCAATGGTGCTGCGTAAAGCTGGCTGCTCTTCGAGAAAGCGATTACTACCATACCAACCTGTCGTGAGTTGCGTCAGCGATGTGTCTCCAGCAAAATGCCAAGCAGTATCCAGTCAGAAACATTTGTGGATCTAACATGTTGATCCAGTCAGCGACATGCAATATCAAATACTCACACTTCGGTCATAGTGGGATAGAAAAAATGGACAAATGATGAAAGATGATGAAAAAAGCAAAAATTCTCGCTGAGACCAGAAACCCAAAGCAATGGATAGCAGGCTGCGGCGCAAAGCCCAAAGGCACTCAAGATTGCCATGCATTTCAAAGATGTCCGGGTGTCGTAGGGTCTTGTGGCGCTGGACATTTGAAGCCGCAAGCGCTCCTCCATGATCTTCAACTCACCTTGCCACGACATGGCGCAGTGTTCTTAGTACTGGAAGCCTGTCCACAGATGTAACAAGGGCCTGCGGTGCCAAGAATTCAGCTTGTCTATCCTACTGTAATGGTTGCTGTTTGGTTCTCAAAAAGGTCAAGTATGTGGATCCCACCATTTTTGAAAGCTCAAAAAGGTATGGCAAAGGTAAATGACGAATACACAGCACGACACTGTCTCCTTTCTGACTCCTTTGCTGCATACCTGGCATACCTCCTTCAGGCCTGTAGAAGTAGGAGCCCAGGGGTCGATCGGAAAGGTTCAAACGCCCCCGAATCCAGTGGCGTAAGCACCCCAGATGCACATACCTGGCGCCGATCTAATCGCTCGCTCAATGGCTTCCCCAACTGGTGTTGTCTGGCCACGCTCCAAACATGGCGGCTTCACTCGATGGAACCCTTGCATTGGCACGGAGCAATCAGGGGGTCATCCTGCAGTCGTGGTTGCATCATATGCAGTGGAATTAGCCGACCACGGCAAAAGGGGCAATAGAATGACTCCGACAACTGTATGCGATATCTGAATATGGCGGCTGAGTTCTCAAACAAAGCCAACACTTTGAGACAAAGTAAAACAACATCTGGTGTTTCTTCCATCGAAGCTTTCCCAGCTGTTGAGCAAAACAGCAGTAACCCACGACAGATTGTCTTGGGCTCACCATGAAATCATCCGCACTGCAACTGGTCGTCCATCCAGTCCTCTCCAGGGCCCTCCAGGAGGCAAATTCGGCAAGTGAGTTTGCTGATTTGCTGCCCCCTGAGTGGCCAGATTCGTGCTGAGTGAGAGATGGAGGTACTCCATTTACAACTAGGAACATCTAAAAAAAATGTGTTACGTATACATGTATATATATATAGTATATTATGTATATATATATATATATGCTACATCGTAATCCTGAAGTAGAATGAAGATGGTACGTTCAAACATATTCCCATTGTAATTAGATGTTTGACATGTCTATCTACTCCAGGATGACTAGATGTGCATGTCAAACTCTGACCCAAAAAAGACTTTCCAATGTTGGGGTCCCCGAAAGGCTGAGGTTGGATGATTTTGTAATGTAGCCCATAAGGATTTCCGGTTGAAATCATGTGAAATCAACACTTGACAATATTTCAGAGACAAGGATCAGGATATATCATGATACGAGTACATCATCCATCCAGCACCTTTTGGCATTCTGCAAGGGCTGCGCATGTGGGCGCTCAACTGCCAAAACGGGCCCAGCTGAGGCCGAAGCTCGCTAGTGGAGCTGGGCTCTACCTCGTAGGCGCATTGATACATAGAAAAAATTGATAGATATGTGTCACTGTGTACTATCATATACATTCATATACTGTATCTAAGAAAATGGAGATATAATTGTATATATATATATTATATATATTATATCTGTAAATATCAATGAAAATGTCGTTCATGAGTATATTTTACATACACCAACTCTACATCAAAAAAAACTTGGCGCTGACACTGGATGTCCCAACTGGGCTCCCGAACAGCACAGCAAATCACTCCCGAGTCATCCAGCCTGGCTCTGACGCTCTGACCTCTGATGTTTGGTGATGGAAATCCTGATCACTGAGACTTTGGTGACTTTGATGGCCCATTTTTCAGCACATTTTCTATCATCTCAGCTGATTATGATGATCACAACATGGGATTAATGATGATTAAATATGATTAATGGATTCAGGATGGATAAAGGGGGTATGATCATCCCATCATTTGGGATTCCGCATCATAGGTAGATGAACCGAGAAAAAAAAACTATTCATAGGGGGATGGCCATCCCCAAGGTATATCCAACTTTTGAGCATGGCACATCTGGTTATAAGTTGTAACTTCGGTTACCACGGGCAGTCAACCCATGTCAACCCCCTTTGTATCTTTTACCCACCCAAAGCAAAACAGCTTCCCAGCACCACAAGCTGAACAGCACCATTTTGACGGCATCATCTCGAGAAACGCAGAGGGTATGGAAACCAACATCTCCGCCTGCCTCCATCTAAAAAACCACTCAACATCATTCAACTTCCCAAAGAAGGCAAAACAAAGCCATCTTCCTTAGAATCGTTAGTCACAAAAGGGACGGCAAACAGTGACGGCCAAGCTCCGCCCTCTGAAGGCATGCGGAACTCAAATTGATTGGCTAAGCAAACAACGACGAAGGGTATGATCAAAACAAAGGACCAAAAAACTGCATCAAACTCTTTGAGTGTCTCTATTCTTTGTCAGGTTACCTCTGATTAACTTGGGCTTAAGGGGTCCGTTTGTCGCAACCATTCCCATGATGGAGCGCTGGTATAGAGAGGAGTTTGCAGCATGTCAGAATATGATGGTGATGGTGAATGATTGTGATTCATGCCGCCAGTGACCAGTCTGATTCCAGTATGGTCCGATCATGAATTACAAGTCGAGAACACATACTCACATACGTTCTGGATTTGTACGTGTCACAAAATGCCTCGGACTCAAAGAGGCAATAGGTGGATACCTAATAAAAGTCCTGGAGGCCCCAGAGGTATGTCTGATTCACCTGTTTCCATCCATGATGATCTACAATCGTTCGGGCTGCGCCAACGCTACATTAATCTCTGACAGCTGCAAGCCCAATCTCGTGTCAGTCGAAACTTGCAATTCCAGATGCCCTGCCCTTTCGGACGTCGGACTCCGAATTCAATTCAATTACAGAGCACCGGCAAACATTCGGATTGCAGCTTGGCTGAAGCTTTCTGATATGCTGCTTCACAACCCGAAATCTTGAAAAATCAGCCGTCGTGGGTCCGCTGGATTGTTTCAACATGTTTCAACAGTCTACCCTCGAGACTCAAGCCACTCTTGGGAGGTGAGCCAAAGAAATAGCGTTGTTTGCTGAGGTCTCCCAGGGGTCAGCCCAAGATTAGACTTTGGTCAGCCCAAGTCTGATAAATCTGTGAGTTCCAAAAGTTTCAGGAATCCAAACTGAGCTTCTGAATAGGTCTAGATAATGATAGATATAGCTTCAGCCAAACAGACGGCCAGTGCCATGCAGCCACCAGTTCTTCTAGTGCTGCTCCATTCATGGGCCTAGGAGAAGGGAGTTCTGAAGCGAGGAACGGAAGGCGTCCTCCATGGGACCAATGGCTGTTGCGCATGTGGGAATCATGGGCTTGTAGAGCCCTTGATCGGAAAATCAGCACCATGTTTGTAGAGATGAAAAAGCATCTATCAACATCTTTCAACAGTATCACAAATCGAGTTGGCTAGATGTTTTTCGTGATGACTTTTATTGCTTGTTGCTCTTCTGGCCTTTGAAGCAGCTTCTCAAGATCAGGGACTACTGCACTCTACTTATTTTTTTCCACTGAAAACAACCGGTTTGAGAAAAATGTTCGGACAACTGCATACACTGTGTACATATTAATTATATATATATGTACATATAATATAATACTTGCACTGTATATCTATATTGTATATAACCAGGTATTTTGCCACAAGAGCTTTGAAATCAACGGCAAATCTCTGGATGTGTGCCATGTTTCAGAACTCATGTCATTGCTCTCCCTGTCAGCTCAAAGACCGAGAAATCAGCTGAACGACGCTGGTGGCGACTACACACCACTATATGCACAAAAAATCCAATGAATTCACTGCAACGAATCTGAAAAAAAATCCGCTGAGACTTGGGACTCAAAGGCCTGCGGTAGTTTTTTGAAACAATCTGTTTTTAGGTCTTTTGAGATGTCAGATGTCAGATGTCAGAATCGACGAATTTGGTCATTCCACCAGGCCCGAGTCACCGCTGAAGCATTTCCACCTGGTCTTGTTCTGAAGTCCGTTTTCGTTTCGGTGAAAACAAGAAGCATTCAACTGAAAGGGGCGAATCACCGACATGATTTCAAAGTCAAGAGCAAGACCTAAACGCAAAGATGCTGGTCCTCATCTGCAATTGTTCCTAGCTCACGAATTCGATGTCGCTTTCCAGACCAGATCTCAAGCTTTGCAGCTGTCCACCTCAGCTGTGAAAACAAGAGCAAGACGTGGCTACGGATATCTACGGATCAAAACCCGGTATGCTGGTGAACATTCAAAAGCTGCTAGGGCATCTCCCAACTCCCGACATTTAATTTGGTTCCAAAATACAAGATTGTCGAGCAGTGAAAGTAACAAGTGAACATGCAGGACGCAGAAAATCTGCAGGAAATCACAGGTTTTTGACCCCATCCCCACATGTGTCCGTGTTCCGCATGTTCTTTCAGAGATTCCATGCTTTTGCCTGGCCCATCTTCAGGAAATGCCAAGTTGCAAGACCACCCAAAGTTGGTGATTTCAGCCCCTCCCCAAAAACTGGCTCAAGTGGGACGATCATCAATCAAAATCTTCAAAGTCTTCAAGCAGTGGGTATACAGTATCCCCCCAAATGGATCCAAATGGCAATTCGAGTAAGGAAAATGATAATCAACCAATGGAATTGAATTTTCCCACAATTTCCAGACAAAGCCAATTGTTTCGTTGGGAAAGGGGCTCTTTTTGCGAGGGTTTACCCCCAAATCATTCCAGAAGCGTATCCAAATCATCCGAATCCCAGGGTCTTTCTGAGATTCACTGAGTCTCCGGGCTACCTCCGACCTCGAGGTCCATTGGCTCTTCCATAGGCTGCTGGAGCCCCGTGCGCATGCCGAGGCTGGTGCGCATGCCGAGGCTGCATGTGGTCCACGGCCGGCATCATGGGTCTCTCCATGGCCTTTTCCTTCGTCACCCTCTCCTTTCCGATTTCCTGCGTCAAAACAAGCTGGATTCCTCTATCTAAGTTTCCTTTCACGCAACTAACATCTATAGGATTTTGCTAGCCACAACAACAGGTTCCTCTCATTTTTGCTCGCCAAATGATTCCAGGATGAAGGGATAGATATACTATCATATACTGCATGTTTGTACGTGGCGAAAATATGGACAGCCATTCGGACAGCTGGGATTAATGGACGGACAAACAGATTGGATATCGAGGGATCGATCCATTGGTGTTGATGGGTACATGGGTGGAGCAGATTGCAACGGGACAAGGTTTTTGGGATACTCATCTGGTACCCCATGATTGTGATCCGGTCGCCGCTTGGATCATTCCAGTGGTTTTTCATAACCCCAAGAAAATAGTAAGTTCAGGGTTACATCATCGTGCATGATCCCATTTATTAATGCCTAAAGTGACCCCAATTGCTAACCATCTGATCCATCTGTGGGATGATCCTCCAAGCACTTCGCCGAGTGACCCTGGCTTTTTTTTTGGCGCTTCGCCGACTTTCATAGCCTGCCATGAAAGCGTCCAGTCAAATTGCAACATGGACCTTAGACTATATACAACTATATACACGTGTCTATATACATATAAATATATAGTTGTATGTAAATTATATATATATGTATTAGATGTACTATATGTATTATATGTATCCCGTATACATATCTATATACTTTTATGTATCTATGTTGTATTATTTGTTGATATACAATATATATATATGTATATTGATACATAGCCATACATGTATCTACATATCATGAAAAAAGTAGGACCATTGTCCATCTTGGGGTTGTCTTGGTAACGACTTGCATGTTGGAAGCATCTTTTCCAGCCTGATCCAATCTCCACACTGAAAGGATCTGAGCCCTTGGCCTTCACGGTTTGTTCGTTTTCCAAGATTTCCAAGGGATCGACAGACTTCTGGGCATTTGTACCTGCGGAAAGTGACTTGGCATTCTTTCTCAAGAGCTTTCAAAAATTCAAGAGCAAGCTAACAAAAACGTTGAAAAGCAGATTCTCATGTTGGATGCCATTATTAAAATGGTTGTTGCTGGGGGTAGAGGCGTAGATCATGGTGAATTTATGTCATTTGAAACGACGCTTCTTTCCAAAGGTCAGGAGCTTTACTTTGTCTTTTTTCTACACCAATCAAGAGATCTCTCATTTTCCCAAGATTGCAAAAAAGGATCATTGCAACATCAGGATGATTTAAAGAAGCTATGTAAGAGTTGTACATTGAATTGAAAAACATTACAGTACAGTAGACGCAAGAAAGCCAAAGGAAGCCATGAAAAAAAAGACATGATTCATCCCCGGCTTGTGGAGGGCTGGATTCCCTTTATGGGTCCCCACATGTCCCCATGGGATCCTGGAAAAGTTTGGCAACGCAATATCCGCATCATCTTGGATCGGCAAAGACCTAGTTCGTGGTGGTTCTCAACCCAGTGTCATGATATTATATATAATTATATATAGAATATGATTTCATACATCTATTTACATATAGTGTGTCATATGTGATCTGTATTCATGTATCTGTATACAGATCTGGGATTTGGGCCAACTGGTCACATGGGGCAACGCGCACCTGCAGGTTGCTGGAGACCCACATTTTTTGACCTGAGCTGCCCAGGTCATGTCGTGTCAAAAAAAAACCAGGGCGGGCCATGGGACAGAAATGAAAAAGTGGAACGCTCCAAAAAATGATGAAAAAATGGGGATCATAGATGGTAGGCATGGGTATATAACTAATAGCAATGCTTGGTCAGTTCAGCATGTTGAGCCAACTTTGCAGAGACAACAGTGGGCCAAAATTCGATGAAACCAGCAACGTTGAGTGGGCCAGAACTCCATCACTCCATCATTTGGAGGATTGTTTTGGTGCAATAAACTCCAGTTTTCCCACAGTTCTATCCGTTGTCATATAGATATTATATTATATTATATTATATTGTATTATATTATATTATATTATATTATATTATATATATATATATATTGTGTGTCTTTGGTTTTTGAACCTCAGCTAACTATCAAAACACTTGAGAGCAGGCGGAGGCGGACGAAAGGTAGTGTAGTGGGAGAGGAGTGGTGTCAAAATGCTGCGCCCCTAAGATGATACACCAAAAACGTTTTTGCGCAGTCTAAGATGATTTTATCCAGAGCATGACTGCATGATACGGTGTCTTGTGCAGCGTGAAATGATGCACGAAAAGGGGTTTATTTAAAACCCCTTTTTAAGACCCCTTGCAGCAACTGTTATTGAGGCTGAAGCATACCAATTATGCTGGACTACAGGGACATCTCCCTCATGGAAAGTGTGCCTCTAATGTGGGGGCCCGTGACCGCGTCACCCGTGGGAATTGAACCCATGACCATTTTCGGGGGGGGAGGGGGCCCCCCCCCCCCTTATAATTGATATCCAATACATAACGGCGAGAATTCCATGAATTCCGTGGGCTGGCCCCCCAATACCCCCTAAGCTTGTGCTGAAGCACGGAGAACTCAGGTAGCTGACGCTACCTTTCGTGACTAGTTGCAAACACACCCCTAAGTTTCTAACTCCTAACTCCCAACTCAAGAGCTTTTAGGAAACAAGCATTGACTACTTCCAAGAGGAAAAAAACACAGGAGATGTCTGAAGTTACTCGGTTACTCATGAGAAAAATCCAGCCAGCCCTGCAGTACTGCGGTTGATATTCACAGTCGTCCATGCTCCAAAAAAATCTGCGACCAGCCCGAACCCCCTCACCACTGTCCAGGATTCCCTGCGATCCAGGTGTCCCGTTGGGTGTCCCATGCTTCTCATGAGCGTTTCGGCTTTTTTGAGGGACGGGTTTCTTGAAGGCCTGGAGACAGCAATGGTTTGGTCCCGGAAATGGTTTGGTCCTGTCCTGATTCACTGATTCACTGATAGTATCAATATGTATCAATAGCTTGCAAAGAGTCATGACCATCACGACCCTTCTGACACGTCATGTGCAGAGCTCCTCATAGTTCGCTGCTTTAATCTCACTCTGCTTGGGCTGCAGCATGTGGGGCTGAGTGGCGTACCTTGGAAAGGGAAAAACACAGGCAGTTGCGTCACAATTAATCATCTATGGCTATGGTTCAAACTTGGATACAGTACCGCTTGCATTTCGGGAGATGATTTCAAGCCACAGCAATGTCCTTGCCAGATGAGGTGGGTTGCTCAAAGCGATTTTCATAAGGATATTAATTTGAAAAGCATTGACTGGAATTTGGTGTCTGAAAATACCCTCATTTTTAGGTCAGATTTTTGGGGAGAATCATGATTTAGCAGTGGAAAACAGCGGGTTTTCCCACCATTTTCAGACAAACCCACTTGGCATGATCATGGAAACGAAAGGATACTTAGGCATTGGCTTGTAACCCACCATATACCGGTTGCAAGAGGTTATAATATGTCATAGTCCACTTTCAGTGCTTACCATGTCCATGCATGAACGAAATTCAATCCAGTATCAAAACTATAAACATCATAAATGACAGTAACCACTTCCGAATCCCCAGGACCATTGCTTGACACCATGGTTTCAACCATGACACTGCGGACAGACATAACCGTTGAGCACGCCCCGGGACACGCAGCTGAAACTTGGCACCTTCTCCTCAGGAGTTTCTGGAGTTTGTGAAGCCATGGCTTGCAAAAAGTGACTAAAATGATGCATGATTTTTCTGGGAGGAGTTAGAATCATGATTGGATGATTTTAATATTTTATAATATTTTATATAAATAAAACACTTGATAAGGTGGCTTTCAAAGGATCATGTAGGATGATTTAGGGCTCTATAATAGAGGAAACACTCAAATATCTCTCTGGGAACGAAACGAAGAAAAGGCTTTGTGGTTGCTGGTTGAGCCACCCCCTGGAAGTGATAGGATCAAGAAGAAAACTAAAACATCGTTGAATTTGAAACCACAACCCAGCTTTATTTGGGATATATATATATAATTATATATATATATTCCTATGGTTTCCCACATGTTCTTATGACTTTCCCATTTTTTGTAGGCCTGGCACTGTGGTTCCAGGTCCTTTTAACCACGCACAACTCACAACCTAACCCGTCATCAATCTCAGTCCGTGGCAGGTGGACGGAAGCTGTTGCATTCATCCAGTGTATGATCCTTGGATAAAGCTTGAGAACAGAAAATCTGAATCGTTAGTACTTAGCCAATTAGCCAACTCCAAAGTTGCAGATCATTCTGGTTGTGTTTTCAAGTGAAACCACATCTGCAATCAAGAAGAGCCAAAAGGCGAAGGACCGCCTTTTACGATCACAAGAGTAACTGCCGCGACAAGCGACTCACCAACACCAGCAGCACAATGTCAAGTACTTGCAGAATGTATGAAGCTCTTTCCATAAGTCAAACACTTTGGTGGAAGATCTCTATCACAGAAACATACTATGGATTTCCAGCAATCCTGCACCACTTTGGATAATCGAAACCCCATGAATAATGGGATCAACCACCACGGATACCGCCCCGATGCATCCGAGAAGCTGATCGCCTCAGAGGATGGTGTTTTTCGGCACCGATCTTTGGTAACATTAGGGATGGTGGATCGGTTTTTGCTTTAACATTAGCTTACAATACCCTGGGGTTATACCATTAAAATCCATTAAAATTCATTAAAATCCATTAAATACGATTCACCAATATCAAGCACAATGAAAACCCATATCAACCAGTTCACCAAGATTCACCATGATTTTGGCCACTGAGATCTGCACTGTCCACGATGCTCCAGGGGCAACCTGGGTGCTGCACAAGCTGCGCATGGATCAAGATGATCAGGTCGTTTTTTGGTAAGCCGCAAGTAGGATGGTGTTTATGAATGTTAGTAAAGCAACAACGAACATAAATGATCCCCAAGTTGATCATCAAAAGATTGGTGTTATAAACCATCTATAAACCATCAATATGGGTGGTACACATGACATTTGCTTTGCTAACATTCCCATTGACCCATACACCCGGGAAGCCGCGCATGGTAAGGGAAGGCCCAAAGGATGTCGATGGTCTCGGCGTCCGCGAGGAAATCATGTGGAGGATTAAGATGATTATTGGCAGTTATTGGATGATCCAATGATGAATTATCACATGTTTGCGTATTTGTCGTATTTATATACCCAAGTCTGACCCATAAAAATCTCCCTAAGAACAGCCCCAAGGGCAGAAAAGACTCCGTGCAACAGGATTTTCAAGCAACCTTTCAGACAACATTGCAAAAGAGCCATTGGTGTCATGGTAAACTGTTCAATCATGGATCATCCAACTCCCACTTTGCTTCCACCGGAGAAAGCAATATTTTTTTTGTTGCAGCTCAAATGTCCAGTACCAGCGGAACAACAAGATTTGGGGGTCGACGGATCTGCGAGCGCAGCTTCCAAATTGACCTGCGGGAAGCTGGCCCCTTGAGGTTGGATCTCCAAACCAGGTCAGCCAAGTATTGGCTGAGAAATGGCCAATAGCTAAACATTATGATCAAGAACATTATGTTGTTTAATATATGTGCATATCATGTCACAACATGGTTTTCAAAATCCAGCGCAAGTCTACCATTGAAGTTGTCAATCAAGGCATAATAGATATCTATATATATATCTATATAAATATAAGTATATATATATACACATATTCATAAATTCATAATGGTATTATAACATGACTAGATGGTATCTAATAATATTAGATGTATTATAAAATTGCTGCCAACAAGCAGCTGCCATTGGTTTCCGTCTCTCAACTCACCGGACCCTTCCGGCCGCTGGCCTGTACCTTGGAAGATGCCTCAGTCCAGAAATCTTAAGTGGTCAGGGACTTAGTAAATCTTAGTATAGCAAAAAAGGATGATTTTTTCCACCATTCCAGTGACAGCGCAGAGAGGTCGTGGTAGTTTATCCATGTTTATCCAAAGTATTGTCTGTCAATGCTTTTGGGGCCCAATTTTGACACATACGAAAGATCCTCAGTGAAAGGCATTTCTGGGGGCTTGGTTTGAACAGCCGAAATGCTTCTCCAAAGGCGATAAGAATCCAGACCTGGATCCGGGGAAAGACATGGACGACTCAAAAGTCGGATGGCCGCCAGCGCAACGAGCTAAGGATCCAACCTCTTGCTTCACTGCGGGCTCATCTTTCCTGCGGTGCATGCGCGTGTCCGGTTCGGTACCCCCAACAAACTCAGCTGATACAAAAGATAGGTTCGGATGGATTTGATGTGCCATTGCCAGTCGTTGCGCAAACCAGTAGATTGACGCCACTTCACAACTTGCATCCTCTCTGGTTGTAAGGCAAGATAAAACCCCATTCAAAGGTTTTAGGAACCTCATTGTGAAGGTGAGCACCGCTTGCAACTCATGCTCATGGTATACTTACCATGACGCCAGCACGCCTTTGAATCTGGGTCTCCATGGAAATCTTTGGGTTCTGCGCCTCCGGAACACAATTGGAGTTCTGTCATGAGTCATCCCCAAAGTCCCACCAAACTGGCCTACCTTGGCAGGGAAACCAATGGGTTGGGGGTTCCCCGTTTTGCAGGCTACCAAGTGCCAACTGTGCTGGTGCAAGTAGAAGCCATGTGGTTGCTATGGTCAGCATATACATCTGGAAACAACTGTAAATATATGTGTAATTACAATAATATACATGCACATACACGTAGACATCAAGCAACTGAGTCAGGGAGACTTGTAAACGCATTTTATCAGTTACCGTCCATCCACCAAGTGAGGCACAGAGGACTTCAAGGCTCAAACTATATGTGTACGTCTCATGTCTGAAGAGTTTGAACATCAAAACAAAACACATGAGAAACGCACTGATCGTAGTGTAGTGTGTACATGCATCCCTATCTTGAAACAAACATGTTGAATGCATAACCCTCCAAATGCATAGAAGCGCAACCAAAATGCTGTTGCCTGCCAGGTTTCAGTTTCTGTTTTCTCCTTAGTCACCGTCGTCATGGTGGGCTGTTGGGTCATCTGGCAGGGCCGCTCAAGTTTCGAAAGAAACTGAAAAAATGGATTTAAAAAATCTAGTTCAGCTTTTCAAGAGCTGCACATACACTCGCAACACTGCATAATGTTTGATGAGATAGGACTAGCACCAGAGCCAAACAATGGGAAAGCGAGTAAACATTCACAGAGGAATGAACATTTCATGTCTCGGAACGGAGTGGAACCACATGGAACCAGGCATCCATGTCCAAGTTCAAAAGTATAGAAATCGAGTCGGTGTGGAAATTCCATCAGGTACCGTGAACTGTCCCTTATGATCCAAATGTAACAAGGCGTCTTGCCCGACGTCAGTCTCAAGCTCGTCATCAGTGGATGGCCAAAGAGGAATAATTGGATCCTCTGATGCCAACTGAACAGTGGCTCAAGCCCACTTCTCGGAAAAAAATAATGGTTAAACGGTTAAATACGAAAAAAAAATGTCAAAAGCACATGTTCATCTTGCAAAATCCACGTTTCAAAAATCGGCCAACCTGTGTGGTTCCCTTATCCATTGTGAAATGTCAGATAATGTCAGCATAGATCTCACGGTCTGCGGCTTTACTGGGTTGCACATCCCGTCCTGATCACAGATAGAAGTGGCCTGGCACTGCCAGGGCAACAGAACTGTGTAGAAAAAATGGCATCACATGGCATCACGGCATCACCTTCTCTTCCTATCCTGAAGTGTCCGTTGTCCAAACTTTCAGGCAACATCTGGCCACAAGTGACCCACCTCACTTTCACCATCCTTAGATCTTCCCCCGTGGGATGGGGAGGAGTCCATGCGCGACTTTTCGTTGGGAAAACCACAATTTTACCCGGTTTTACCACGATTTTGTCTCTTGAGTCCATGGGGTTAAAAGTAGTGAAATTTCCACTTGAACATGAGCCAACTCTTGGGAAGATTTGGGAAGTATCTCCCATTTGATGCCATTTGTCCAAGTTGTCCAAATGAATCAAATCCATCGAAACTTGTGAAGAAGAAAGGCTCCCCACTCGGACCCATGATCCCATTGCATATCCAAAACATACCAACTCGGACCCACTTCATCGTTGGAACATCGTTGGGGTCCCCGGGTTTCGCCAGGTCGATCCCAGCATCCACCAGCTCCAACAGCTTGTAGGGAACATATCCAGGCCAAGTAGGAATGCGACAGAGGACTTTGGACCTGCCATGCACCCAGTCCGTTTTGGGTCCTACGGCGACCCAACGCTGTTGTGGTGCACCTGAGTGTGATTGAAAATGGGATTGCTCTCCGAAATGCTCCTTTGAATAGGGAAAATGATGATCATGATCATTTTCACAACTAGATTTTGGGGTAGCCCATTGTCAGACAAACCACTCTGGCCTGACAGGGGAAGCGTCGCCCTCAGAGTAGAAAGCGTCTGGCAAGGGTTTCAGGCGCGGTTCGAAGAAGGACATTGCTGCGATTGAATGAGACAGAGAAGAAAGGGTCCGGTCCCGCGAAAACAAAGGGAGAGAAGATCCGAGAAGATGGCTTTGTCCGATTGAGGACGCTTTGAGCCAACTGTCTCCTGCATCTGGGAGGTGTGACTGGATTCTTGCAAGTGCAGCTAGACAGCCCGAGACAATCGCAAACCATGTTACTCGCACCACTTTTAAGCATATCAAGAAAAGATTGTGTGAGTATTTTGTGGCAAAAGAGACCCGGCTCCAGTTGAAACAGACACCCAAGACCCTTCCATTTCTGCAATTTAGTCCACCCACAAGCTCCAATTTTATGAGACTTTCATCCGCTTGCACCACGCACTGAATAGGTCTGGTAGCCCTCCGGGAAATCAGAACGTGTTGCACTACGTCGGTCAGAAACAATGCCTTCACAAGCAGGTCTCAAATGAGTAGTATGTATGGGTCAAAATATGTCAAAATTGGATACCCAAACAATTGCATGGCAGATTCAACACTGAAATTGGCCAGAATCTTTGTGTCCCCTGCATCTTCAATTGCCTGGGATTCACAACTGTGTGTTCCAAATTCTAGCGCTGGGATTCATAACTTTTCCCTTGAACAAGAGGCACCCCGTCTACTGTCGTGCAGAGGGTACAGTGCAGAAAGTGGAAGGCAAAGTTCGGGTGGTTCGATCCCGCTTGAGGCTTACTTGATGCTGTAAACCCTATAATGGCCCTATTATGACGCGTATATATTATATCATATAATACCTTCTTGGCGGTTAAACGATGTGGTAAATCCTGTAATAAATTCAAATGGTTTACGGTTTGGGGCTTACCACCTTCTATACCTATTTTTAAGGTAAATATGGTTAAACACCAACCTTGCGATGATCAAAATGTTAATCCCAATTCTAAATGGTTTGATCAAGTACCATTTTATCATGTTTCGCGTGCATACGGGTATAAACCACCCCAGCAATATTATGCAACATTGGGTCTGAACAAGACCCACAAACAATCACATGCCAACTGGATCCGACTGGGTATCAAATTAACCCAGCTTTGCAACCCAACAGCATACCTGAATCTTCCACCTACGTCTTTTTTCAGACCCTGTGCCAAAGTCCTGTTTTTTCAGTACCCAGAAAACTTTTCAGGACCTACTCTCAAATTCAGGACCTGGCCATTTTGGGGTATCAATGGTAATGGCAATCATTGGGTGCAAACATGTGAAACCAACATTTGGTGGATATTCAAGCCATTGGCATTGATCCACGCAAATAAAAGCACTCCCAGCCCAAACTCATGGCAAGGCAGGATCAGAATATAGTATATTCCAGAAAGTATGTCAGAATAGATGCCAGATAGGATGCCAGAAAGAATGTCAAATAAAATCTCAGAAAGAATGTAAGATAGTATGTCGGAACATATATGCCACATATACGTCCAGATGATATGTCAGAAACTATGTCAGAATAGTGTGTCAGGGTGGGGATCACTCTTAGTAAGGCAATTTTGAAAATATATTTCAGGTTCGGAATTTTCAAACTGTTGTCCTTCAGGCGCCGAAGCTCCCGTTGAAGGTCAGCATCGCCCCATGTCAACTGGTCCAGTCCCACTTCCATTTCAACAAGTCCAACTTCATCGATTAGGGTGTTGGTTGAATGGACTTGGGACTCTAGCTGGCACGGCATCCCTTGTAACCCTGTAGACACTGTAGTGGGCAAAAAGATTTTAACACACAGAATCAGCATCATTTTGATCAGGCATTCTTTTTGCTAGTCCTTTCTCCCTATTACGAAAAAATACCCCCAAATGACAAAAACTAGGTGCGATTTCCAATTTTGGGAAATGTCAAATTGGTTAATCTGATTTTTAATTGATCCCCTTGAGGAAACAATTTAAAAAATGAAGGTACCATGTGAGGGTTTCACCCCCAAGGAATAAAAAACTAGTCAACACCGGGGTGTCTTTTATTGGGGTCCGTCCTTTAAAACCGTCAATTTTAGTTTTTTTAATTCAGGTGTTGGTGTTTTATTTGATACTAGGCGAAAGCTTCGAAATCCTATTCTTGGCAGTATTCTATTTAAAGATTATTTTCATGGATTTTGAAATTAGAAACAAAAAACGGTTTAATCCCTACCCCCTGTTGCTAAACAGTCGCCCCTTCACCCACCCACCCAAATAACAAACACCTGGAGGAGTTTTTAGTATTGGGGGGGTCTTTAGTATTAGGGTACGAAGCTTCCCCCTAATACTGATAAAAAACACACACACACATATATATATATACACATATTTCTATTTCAAAATCGATCAGATTTCTTTCTTTTTAAATCCAATTAAAATATGGCAAACAAGTGGATTCCGAAGCTTAATATCAAATAAAAACCCCCAACATAAAAAACTATGTATGTTTTTCTATTTCGAAATCGATTAGATTTCCTTTTAAAAATTAAATAAAATATGGCCAAAAAATTGGATGTCGAAGCTTTTCCCTTATATTAAACCCTAATATCATTTTGTTTTTTTCCTGTTTCAAAATCGATTAGATTTCCTTTTGAAATCTAATGAAAAAAAACAAAAAATTGATTTTGAAGCTTTCCCCTAATATCAAATTAAAATCCAATTATTAAAATATGTTCAAAAATTGGATTTCGATGCTTCCCCTAATCTTGCATGAAAAATTCCAATATAAAAAACTAAATTTGTTCTATTTCAGAATCGATTAGATTTCCTTGTAAATTCAAATTAAGATATTGCCAGAAATTGGATTTCGAAGCTTTCCCCTCATATTAAACCCTCATATCAAAGACTATTTTTTCTATATCAAAATTCATTAGATTTCCTTTTGAAATCTAATTAGAATATGGTCAAAAATTGGATTTTGAAGTTTTCCCCTAATATTACATTAAAAAACCCTAATATAAAATATTATTTTTCTTTTTTGAAATCGATTCGATTTCCTTTTAAATTGTAGTAACAAAAATAAAAACAAAAACCGGATTTCGAAATGTTTCCTCTAATATTAAATTACCAGCCCTAATATATTTTTAAAAAAAACTGTTTCAAAATCGATTAGTTTTCTGTTTAACATATAATTAAGATATTGCTAAAAATTGGATTTCGAAGTTTTCCCCTAAGATTAAATTAAAAACAATAATAAAAAAAACTATGTTTTTTCGATTTCAAGAATCGATTAGATTTCCTTTTGACATCCAGCAAAAATATTGCCAGGAAATGCCAAAAAGTGGATTTCGAAGTTTTCCCCCAATATTATATAAACGTTGTAATATAAAATACTTATTTTTTCGACCTTAAAAGACCCTAGTTTAAAAATCACCGGGGCTGACTAGTTTTTATTTTTTGGTGGTGAAATCCTGAAATGGGACCTTCATGTTTAATTTGTTTTTGAAAAGGTATCAATTAAAAGTCAAACTGGCCAGCCTGAAATTTCCCAAAATTTAACGCGGACCCTAGTAAAAGGAATCAATGTAATATTTTAGTATTTAGGGTACGTTTAGTAAAAGGAGGTGGGGATTAGTAAGGTTTTCAATTTAATATAAGGGGAAGCTTCGAAATCCAATTTGGCAAGATTTGAGTTAGATTTTGAATAGGAATTCAATCGGTTTTGAAATATAAAGTTCATTTTTTAAAACGAATGTTTTCAATTTAATGTCAGGGGGAAGCTTCGGAATCCAATTTTGGCAATATTTTAGTTAGATGTTATTTAAAAAATGTTTTCCAATTTAGTTTTTTTTAACCAAGGGGGAAGTTTCGCACCCTCATACTAAATACCCACTAAATACAAAAAACTATTCCGTGTGTTCATTATTGGGTGGGGAGGGGCAGACGGTTTATTATGACGCAGGGATTGGTCAGGCATCACTTGCTGGAATTATTGGATTCTTTTGGGATGATTGGTATGATGTTTAGTCAGGCATGGTTCCCTTCAGTCATGCACGATTTTTGCAAAAATCCTATTTAGGCACGACCCCAAAATCCCAGCCCGGCAAATTCCGGCCCGGGCCCGGCAAATTCCGGCCCGCGCCCTGCAAATTCCGGCCCTGCGTTTTTCCAAAATCAGGCAAAACCAGTAAATCAGGTATTAAGTCAGGTGTAGTTACCTTTTAAGTCATTAAGGCTAGTCAGGCATGGTTCCAGTGGGTACCTTTTAATTGTGAAGGCTAGTCAGGCATGGTTCCCTGAATTCAGGGGCATGGGTACCTTTTAATTATGAAGGCTAGTCAGGCATGGGTTCTGTTAAGTCAGGCGTGGGTGGGTACCTCTTAATTATGAAGGCTAGTCAGGCATGGTTCCCTTAAGTCGGGTGTGGTTACGCTTTAAGTCATGAAGGCTAGTCAGGCATGGGTACCTTTTAAGTGATGAAATCTGAATCAGGCGGAGCTCCTATTCTAAATGTGTTAAATCCAATTGTTCAGTGTGGAAAATCGATTTTTTGGCTGGTCTACGGGCAAACCCTGTGTCTTCCAATACCATAGCGTGCTGATGTCGCTTGCCTGCATAATAGTTAAGGCCAAAGCTTAGGTCATCAGTGTGATCCTGAAATGGCGCCACGACCAAGAAGATGACATGTGTAAAATGGGCCCTGGATTAACAAAGGCTGACTAATGAATTTGGAGGATGCCACTAAAGTATGACATGTAATCACTTTTGAGGAGCACTCTATGGCACGCAGCGCGCGCAGCCTGCTTTACGGTTTAGCGTTTGAAAGTTTTAGGCTTTGCCTCTATGGCACGCAGCGTTTGAAAGTTTAACCGTTTACCTCTATGGCAGGCTGTGCGCGCAGTACGCGTTACGGTTTAAAGTTTGAAAGTTTTAGGGTTTATGTGTGTGGCACGCAGTGCGCGCAGCGCGCATTAGGGTTTAGGGTTTGGAAGTTTTATAGTTTATTTTATTGCATGCAGCGTGCACAGCGTGGGTTGAACTTTAGGGTTTCGAAGTTTTAGGGTTAACCTCCATGACACGATGGTTTAGGGTTTGGAGATTTTAAGGGGTACTTCTATGGCACACAGCGCGCGCAGCGCGCGTTAGGGTTTAGGGTTTAGGGTTTGGAAATTTTAGGGTTTACCTCTATGACACGAGAGTTTCAGGTTTGAAGATTTTAGGGTTTATTTCTATTGCACAAAGCGCGCGCAGCGCGCATTAGTGTTTAGGGTTTGAAGGTTTTAGGGTTTATCTCTGGCACGCAGCGTGCACAGCACGCATTAGGGTTTAGGGTTTGGAAGTTTTAGGGTTTATTTTATTGCATGCAGCGCGCACACCGCGGGTTAAACTTTAGGGTTTGGAAGTTGCATAACAAGATGGTTTAGGGTTTGGAAATTTTAGGGTTTACTTCTCTGGGACACAGCGCGCGCACCGCGCATTAGGGTTTAGGGTTTGGAAGTTTTAGGGTTTACTTTATTGCACGCAGCGCGCGCAGCGCGCATAGAGTTTAGGGTTTGGAAGTTTTAGGGTTTCAAGGGTTCCAAGGTTCCAGGGTACCAGGGTCCCACGGTTTCAGGGTTCCAAGGTTTCCATGGTTCCAAGGGTTCCAAGGGTTCCAGGGTTTCAGGGTTCCAGGATCCCAGCAGGGTGCCAGGTGTGCGGGGTTCCAGGGTTCCAGGGTTCCGGGGTTCCAAGGTTTCAGGGTTCCAGGGTTCCAGCGTACCAGGGTCCCACGGTTTCAGGGTTCCAAGGTTTCAGGGTTCCAAGGGTTCCAAGGGTCAGGGTTCCAGGATCCCAGCAGGGTGCCAGGTGTGCAGGGTTGCAGGGTTCCAAGGTTCCAGGGTTCCAAGGTTGCAGGGTTCCAGAATCCTTGAGGGTTCCAGGGTGCCAAGGTTCCAAGGTTTCAGGGTTCCACGGTCGCAGGGTTCCAAGGTTCCAGGGTTTCAGGGTTCCAGGGTTCCGGGGTTCCAGGGTTCCAGGGTTCCAGGGTTCCGGGGTTCCAAGGTTTCAGGGTTCCAGGGTTCCAGGGTTCCAGGGTTCCGGGGTTCCAAGGTTTCAGGGTTCCAGGGTTCCAGGGTTCCAGGGTTCCAGGGTTCCAGGGTTCCGGGTTCCAGGGTTCCAGGGTTCCAGGGTTCCATTCCGGATTTTGAAGGCTGCAAGTCCCCGCGAGCCAGCCCCAGCCCTAGAGATTGAAACCCAACAGGCCCTGCTGTTGGGAATTTCTATCATTTTCTATCCATTCTTCGTGATCCCTCAGCCCCGTGGTCCCGCCTCTAAAGGTCAGCGACACGCGCCGGAAGTTCTTCTCCCGTCGCAAAACGCGACCGTCACGCAGCGGTACTCGCTTCCTTTGCTGCGCTGTCCACTTGGGGCAGCTCTGCAACCAAGCTACGCATTGCCACAGGCCACAGTTTCTACATTGCCTTGATTTCTACAAATCTTCGGTAGGGTTTCACCACGTTTCACCATTACAAATGGCAATCTAACCAGTGTTTGGCCGCAAAAAAGATCCATGAAAAACGGGGTTTCGCCATCCAAAGCTGGGTGTAGAATGAGCAACTAACTGTCGGTATGTCAAAGATGGGGTACCCATGGGCCAATCCTCTCCTGTCTAAGACACTTCTGAATCCTACCAACATGAGTCAAAAAGATTGACCCATACCGCCCATACCCCTGCGCCGAATTTTGGTGGTCAGAATCGGGACCCCTACAAATTACCCTCTGGTAATTTAACATCACATAACATAACTATATATGGAAAATCACCATTTTTCATGGGAAAATTCACTATAAATGGTGATTTTCCATAGTTATGTTAAATTACCAGAGGGTACTGTGGGTGGTCCTCTTCACTGAGATTTCGCCCAAGTGGCGACTGGCGAATGGCATGGGTGAAATTCAAACGACTGGGACCTTCCAAGACCAGCAAGCTCAAGGGCTCCAAGAGGATTTTCACGTAGTCCTTGCAAGGCCAAAGCGGCCAAGGCAGCCAAGGCATGCCCCCAATGAGATTTACCCGATTTACCCGGACCTCATGGCCGGGAAATCCCAGAAACCATGGAGTTTTGATATGGGACAATCTTCGATCTAAATAGGGAATTATCTGTGCAGGGGATGTGAGGTATCATGTTCTGCTATGCCATTGAGGCATGCAACTTTCAAACTCAAGGCACAAAGACTGCCACCTTTTTGCTTCGAAGGGCCCAAATGTTTGGCCTTGATTTCCAGTCAATGGATGTCACTGATCGATTAGTGTACCCGGTAGTCAAACATGGCTGTGAAAAAAATGGTAAAAGGGGGATGCTAGGACATCCCAAGGGTTTATGTTGGTTGTTATGGTTTTTAGGTTTGTGTTCAATGTTTCTTCCTTATCTTTGATGTTTTATGTGGTGGGGGTTTTGGGACTATTTTGCCCCTAACTTTCACTGTTGATGTTTGGATTGAATGAGGGTAGGATTTGTTTAGGTTGTTGGGGTTTTGTGTTTGGGTTTGGGTGGGTGATTACTTCATAATATGTTTTGTTAAGATATTATGAATTAATTGTTTTATGCTTTCCACTTTCCTATTCCATCCCACCAGTGTTCAATTATCCTGACTTGACTTGTGATAGTTGGCTCGTCTGTATCATCTAAAATTAGTTCATCTATTGCTAATGCTAATAGAGTTTGATTTATTGCCATAGCATCCCATTTTCCATCACGGTTAAGTTCCTTACCACATTCAACGATAATTGTTTTGTTAGTGAGGTTTTCATACATTCTTTTTATAATGTCAAATCTCATAAGCGAAAAAAATATCATTCCATTTATTCCTTGGTCGTTTTTCAGCCTATCAATTACTTTAAACCACCAGTATTCTCCTTCCTCATCATCTGGTGAAGGCATAGGATGACACTTTACAAAGTCTCTAATCTCTTCATCTTCTATTTCTATTGCTTGTCTATCACATTCGGGTTCATCTTCGCTTTCACTACCAAAGTCAGCATATATACCGATATTATCTCTATCTATAACCTGAATTTGTTTTTACTCATTTTCTCTTATTATATATAGTTATTTTTTCTTTAAGTATTTACCACTTTTTGTAGATACTCTTTTATTTCTTCTATGTTCAAATATTTCTCATAACCGTTGAACAGTTCTTCAACATATTCACGCAAAAATATTTTCACAATGTCATTTACCTTAAACTCCCTATTTCTGAATGTATGAGTCCAATCGTTTTGAGGAAACCACCACTCCCGTTTGTTCTTACAATATGTCATATATGTAAGGTCGTGAAAGTTTTTAAGGAAGTGATAGGTAGTTTTCCACTCCCTTTTCACAAAAGACTTAATCGCCATTAAGAACAGTTTGTCATGTTTGAATTCTTGCTTGAGTTTGAATGTATCCATTAAAACATCAATTTCTCTTTTCATTTGCCGAGTGTTTGTTCGGTTCGTGTTGGACAAATAAATAGGTGATTTCTCCATCCTTGTTTTAAAGAAATAGATTGTCTTTTCTACTCTCGTCAGTTTTTTATCATTAAAATAGTCAAAATGATAATTGAAATCTATGTATCTACGCTCCTTATCGTTTAAGTTTTTACATTTTGAACAGTGAAGGTTGTAATCACATATCTCATCACAAATTCCAGCGGGAAAAATATTGTTCAATAAATCCTTTAGGTCAGTTATTTCTTTCTTACAACATCCGCAGTTTTTATAAGTAAATAGCATCCTCTTACTATATATATATAGAGAGAGAGGTATTTTTTCTTTAAGTAGTTTTTGGGGTCTCTTTCATTTTTTGAGTTCGGGTTGGTTTTTCTTTTCCCTTTCCTCCTCTTCCAGTTCTCCTATGACCATATCAATTTCATTCATTCCTTCGTTGGGGTCTTGTCCATTTGCGAGGTTTCTTAACCTCTCAAAATCCTTCACTTTGTGTCTTTCATTGGGTGGGAGGGTTTTGAGATGTTCCTTCAACTCTGTCAGGTCAAAGTATGTGTCTTGTTCTTCATCCTCATGTTCCAAAAACATGTCCATTCTTTGCTTTTCCATCTCCATAAGTTTGTTTTCCATATATTGGAAATTCATTTGCTTCTTGTAGCACTTGCCACAAACATTCACGAAGGTTTTGAGCAAGTAGTTCCAATTAGGTTGCTTTGTATCGTTCAGGGTTATAACATCTGTCATTATACGACATCCACAGTCAAATTTAGTCATCTTATTCAGTCTTACTATATATACAGTAGGCATTTTTTCTTTAAGTATATTTTTATTGCTGATAATTTTAAAAATCTAATATTATAATATATGGCAAGGAGACTATCACAAGATGACATCATAAGCAATGTCTATTACAATCTTGAAACGGGCTTCGGTTCAATCAATGAGACCCTCAAGAAAGCCAAGGAACAAGACCAGACCATCAACAGGGTGGATGTGGACAACTTTATGAGGAAACAGCCCAACAAACAGATTAGAAAATACAGGGGTTCAAACTCCTACACCGCACCCTTCGCAAGGTTTGAATATCAGATTGACATAATGGATATGAAACCCCTAACTAAAGAACCAGAGACGAAAATTCCCATCAAGAACGACGAACCGAGATATGGGTTGGTGGTCATTGACATCTTCAGCAAGTTGGCAAACGTCGTTCCTATGAAAGAAAAATCCGGACCAATCACATTATCAGCGATGAAAGATAGTTTCAACAAAATGGGTTTTCCGATGTCCGTTTATAGTGATAATGACCGTGCCTTCCAAGCGGGAGTTAAAGATTTTCTTGAGAAAGAAGGCATCACTCACGTCGTCACCCTAACTCACGCCAATGTTGTGGAGCGTTTCATCAGGACAATGAAAAATATGATAATTACACGACAGGGTCAGGTTTAATCGCGGTAGTTGGACTGTTATGTTGTCCAAAGCATTGGATAAATACAACGACACCATCCATTCATCAACGAAAATGAAACCCAAGGACGCCCACGATGACAAAAACCATATGGATGTCAGGGTTAATTTGACAAGGAGGGAAAAGAACACTCGCAAATATCCAGAGGTCAAAGTGAATGATATGGTCAAGGTCTTTGAGAAGAAAAAAGACAACTACACCGAGAGGAAGGAGTATAACTCAAAATGGAGCAATCAATCCTACAAAATCATCAAAATAGAATACGACGACGTCGGAAACAGAACCTTCAAACTGGAAGGATTGAACAAACCGTATTTGAGGCACGAGATTTTGAAAGTATAAAAAATTATCTATAATATTAATATATGACAGAGGTAGTTGTAAAAGAGATTGATAATGAAGAACCAAAGGAAGAAACAATACCAGAACCAATACAGGAAGAAGCACAGAAAGAAGAGGAGAAACCAGAAGAAATAATTGAAAACCAGTTGAAGAGAAACCACAACCAGCAACGGTAGTCCCAAAACCCAAAAGGGTAAGACCGTCAAGGGCGAAACCACCTTTTGACCCAGAGGCATTCAAAAACGACCTTGTAAAACAACTGAAGGAAGAACTACAGAGCGCAATGACCGCCAGAGACACCTACAACAAAGCCAAAGAGGAAAAGAACAAAGCGACGAGAGAGAAATTGAAATCTTTAGCATCAAAAAACTTGGTAAAGTATTATATATAAAAATGAACATCAAGGAACAGAAAATAGAACTCAACAAAACAGACATCTACGAAAACGTCCGCAAGGACATCAACAGAAGACAAACCGTCCATTCAAACAAAAGTGCCAACTACCGGAGCGGAACGCCCGAAATGCCAGACAGAAGAAAAAAAGCGTATAGTAGTTATGACCACTACTACCACAACGACAGCAACACGGCAAGGATGCCAACTCACAACCATCATCTTTACCTAAAGCATCTTCTTGAATATCACAACACCGAGCACGATTACAAGGTCTTACAAGTAAAGCAGAGGATGAAGGAAAAGAATGAGATGCTACAGAACGAAATGACAAGGTTGAGGGAGGTGAGGAAAAATCACAGATTGGAAGATTACGGGGCGAACGTCCAGAATATGAAACAGAGAATTGATGAGTATAAGCAGTGGTTGAGAGGCGATACATAAGATTAATATAAAAATCTAAAGTATTAATATATAGCAATGACAGCAGAAGTAATCAACGCAAAACAGGGATTGACACGAATACCCACTTATGCAGAACTCATCAAGGAAATAGACAGGGAAAAGTTCAAAACCAATGACATCAGAAAAATATTTGATAGGAACGCTTGGTATTTTCACGAAAGTCCTCAGGGTCAAGCACTGAACACAAACAACATCCACCCAGCAGACTTACAGCAAATGAACTTCAAAAAGATGGCAGAGGAAGCGACCGCAAGGAAGGAAGAAGAAGCACCCAACCTTGACTTTGAAGATATGACCGACTTGAGGGACGACGCCATCAGCGACTTTGAGATGTCCTTTGACAGAGAGGCAGAGTTGAGGGAAGAGAACGAAAGGAGACAGGCAAACTTAAGTCATTCAAAAGACCACTATATGGCAAACAAAGGGGCATACGACGCCGTCGGAGCAACAGCATCGGCAGGGATACAAGAGGACGAAGAACCGCCTTCAAGCAGTAGAAGCATCTTAAAGAAATTCCTTAAATCATCCAAACCAGTCATCAAAGCAGTCGCCACAGCAGGAGGAACAGCAAAGGGAGGGTCAATAGGAGGACTAATAGCATCAAAACTGACAGATGCCATCATACCCGACGAAGACGAGGAAGAGAAACCGTCCAAGATAAAACCAACACAAAAACTAATCAACAAACAAGTCAAAAGGGAGGAAAAATCAAAGATGAACGTAGATGTAGTGCCCGATGCCAACGAAGCAATGGATACAACAACAATACCAACAGCAGAAAAGAGGAAACCCTTAAGCGTGAGACAGTCCAAAGCAAAGAGACAAAAACCAAAACCGCCAACGCAGGAGAAGAGAGAATTTCAGG